AGGACATTTTTGTTCTTCAGGGACTCCTCCTTTTAAAAACCATGGAAATGTCTTCTGGGGATGTTCAAGAGAGGTGTCAGGAGAGGAATTAACAACATGCTTGTTAAAATTAGTATTTAATTTTAAATTGTTGCTGGTTATTCCTATCCTGCCGCTTTCTGCTTTTTCCTTCGATGCTGCTGAACGATGTCTGAAACATTGGGCTAGGAAAATCTTTGACTTTGTAGTCGGAGCGAAGGAATGCCTTATTAATGGATTGATTCAATACCCCTAAAGAGAAAAAAAATTTCTGTTTAATATTTATTACTCACCATACCTTGGGGGAGAACTCCTCTGATGTAAAAACTTCACCATTTAATTCCTTAAAATATTAACCTCATTAATGGCTTCTAATGAATGCACAGTGCGTATTCTGAATGCAAACTATTAGGCAGCTATTAAGTGTGAAACCAACAATTGTGAACTGTTTTCCAAATTTTGAATATTGGGGATAATTCTTTATTACTATAGTTGGATGGTGTGCTTATATCGATGGTCCTTATTTTTAGTTGCAAGAGATTCTAATCTCCTAAACATAAACTATTTCTCTCTTTTGAAGCTGTTCTTATGCCTAGAATATTTTGCATAGGTTGATCATTGTTTATTCTGATACCGTGTTTCCCCGAAAATAAGACCCTGTTACATTTTTTTGAACCCCGAAATAAGCACTTGGCCTTATTTTCGGGGAGGTCTTATTATTTTGGGGCACGTGGAGCAAGGAGGGGCTCCTCTTGCCGTCTTACCTGATTTCCAGCTCTGTCTCCCTAACCCTAACCAGAGGAAATGGCGGGGACCGACTGCGCGTGCGTTTAAATATTTTTGGGGAGGGCTTATTTTTAGTGCATGCGCTCAAAAGCCCGATTGGGCTTATTATCTGGGGAGGTCTTATTTTAGGGGAAACGGGGTAATCATACTAGCTTATAGGCTGGGCAAGATGGCTATTACAAATAAAAGAATGTATTGTGAGCCGCCCTGGGTCTTCGGAGAGGGGCGGCATATAAATTGAATGAATGAATGAATGAATGAATGAATGAATGAATGAATGAATGAATGAATGAATAAATAAATAAATAAATAAATAAATAAATAAATAAATAAATAAATAAATACACTTTATAATATTTCCATTATTCGCTTGAGTCGTGCCCTCAACTGGGCACAACTGAGATTGTACCATTTTTTTTTTTTTTTGTTTTACAACCAACTTGTCAGACCTCCGAATCTATATGCCATACATTAGACACAGTTTTATAATTTCACAGAGAGCGCTAAATGAATACAAGATACTCAGGCAAAATTGTACATGGCGCCTTTTACACGTTACAAAAGGCAACGATGCTAAAGAACGTCGAAAGTAAACCGTTCAAATTGTCAAAAACTTTTGGGGCACGATCAGAAATCGGGCTAGCCAGATTATTTTGTCATGATTTAAGAGTGATGCCGGTTTGGTCTTTAAAGAGAATGGAACTTAAATTTTTTGGGGACTGTGAGTTCTAAATCTTACCTATCAATGTGCAGAACAATTCAGTGACCTTTTATAGTTTAAATCGACAATTGTATTTTCTTGATGCTGCCTCTTGACATTTCTCACCAGTGCAGTCTGTGCAAATTTTTCAGCAGCGGAGGCCAAAATGTAAGGCATGCCATATGGCAGAGAAGTACACCTAATATGCCTATTCTTTGCAGATCAATAACATCAATAGTAGGGACGTGGTGGCTCAGTGGCTAAGACGCTGAGCTTGTTGATCGAAAGGTCAGTGGTTCGAATCCCTAGTGCCATGTAACGGGGTAAGCTCCCGTTACTTGTCCCAGCTTCTGCCAACCTAGCAGTTCAAAAGCACGTAAAAAAAAAGCAAGTAGAAAAATAGGGACCACCTTTGGTGGGAAGGGAACAGTATTCCGTGCGCCTTTGCTGTTGAGTCCACATGACCACGGTCTTCGGACAGCGCTGGCTCTTAGGCTTTGACATGGAGATGAGCACGGTCCCCTAGAGTCGGGAATGATTAGCACATATGTGCGAGGGGAACCTTTACCTTTACCTTTTTAACATCAATAGGTTGAGAAAGAGCCATGTCTCATTGAGCATGTCTACCCTCTGAATGACTTCAGAGCTGCTTCCTATACCTCCATGTAGAGCACTGTTTCTCAACCGTGGGCACTTTAAGAAGTCTGGACTTCAACTCCCAGAATTCCCCAGCCGGACATGCTGGCTAGGAAATTCTGGGAGTTGAAGTCCAGGCCTCTTAAAGTGCCCACGGCTGAGAAACACTGATGTAGAGGCTGTTGCAATGCCTTCGATAAGGGACTCCCCAAAGCTATAAGTAATACCTGTAAATGATTTGTCACCTGGTTTGACCTCATTCCGTGAGGGATCTCCCTGCCAGTTTCACCACACTGTTTTGACAGCACGGATGCGTGGGAATTTCTCTGTAGCTTTGGCCCATTAGGTTGTCACTAGGTAAATGACTTAAGCGCTAGTAAACAATGCAACATAGAGTCGGCCTACTTCAACCTGAAGTGGTTCTCAGCAGCCGTGTTGTGAACTCATAAGCCCCTAAAAACAGAAAACAATACAGGTACCCCTCCACTTACAACAGTCTTGTTTAGTGACCGTCCAAAGTTATAACAGCACTAAAAAAAACTTATAACTGTTCTTCACACTTATCACTGTTGCAACATCCCCTTGGTCATGTGATCAAACTTCGGACACTTGGCAACTGGCATGTATTTATGACGGTTTGCACTGTCCCGGGGGGGTCACATGGTCCCCTTTTTGTGACCTCCTCACCAGCAAAGTCAGTGAGGAAGCCAGGTTCACTTAACAGCCATGTTACTAACTTAAGAAGGGCAGTGATTCACTTAACAACCATCTCGCTAAGGAAGGTCGTAAAATGGGGCAAGACTCACTTAACGACTGTCTCGCTTAGGGGCATAAATTTTGGGCTCAATTGTGGTCGTAAGTTGAGGGTTACTTCTGTGCTTACTCATTTCATGATAGTGGTTCTAGGACTAGGTTGCAGTCTTCCGATATACCTGTAAGGCAGGGGTGGGCAACTGTGGCCCTTTTACAACCTGTGGACTTCAACTCCCAGAATTCCTGAGACAGCTTGGCTCAAGCTGTCTCATTCATTTTAATGGTGGCAGAAGAACTCATTTAAATTGGAGCTTTCAGAATATTTGAGGATGCTCAACATACTATGTGGATTTTTTTAAAAAAAATTGCATGTATGTACCTGTCGGTGGAAGACGGCTACAAGTCTGATTAAAAAAAAAAACACAACCTGGTTAATTTGCAGAAAACAAGTTACAACACCTCATTCCTGTAGACTCGTTCAGCAAGAGTTGGATTGGTATTGCTGGCAAAGGCTGGTTTATAAAGGCCATTTCCATAAGTGTAACAAATGAATCTTCTATGTAATTAATTACAGGCCACTGATACCCTTTAATTACCCTGGCTTAACCTTGCAGCCTCCACAGCGGCCCAAATCTTTTCTTGTTCCTTCTGGAGTAAGTTGACCTCGGTCTTCAAACACCCCATCTCGTTCCTTTCTCCACCCTGTGCTATGCAAAATACGTTTGTGCGATGGCACACCCTATCAAAGACATTGACGACAGCAGTTCACCATCATTTCATCTCTGGGTGTGGGTGTGGCATCTTGGGTTATGCCCTCAAAGCAACACAGGTGACATTTCATCCTGGGACAGGGGTCAGCAACCTGCGGCTCTGGAGCTGCATGTGGCTCTTTCACCCCTCTGCTGCAGCTCCCTGTCACTCAAAATATGTGTCACAACCACCAATATGCAACACCTGCCGGCACACGATTTATTGAGCTTTTCAACCCCTGGTAGGCCAAGAAAAGAAAAGTTTCAGAAGAAAACAGAACATTTAATTGAACTACATATGCTAGTTTTGTGGCCGCTCAGGAAATAGTTAGTCATGGGAAAGGTTTTGTGGCTCCCGGTGTTTTTTTTTCTGCGGGAAACACGTTCAAATGGCTCTTGGAGTGCTTAAGGTTGCAGACCCCAGTCCTGGGATATACATCTCATAAATAGGATTGGTGCGGGTGGCCTAGAGGCAGAGCTCTCACCTCACAATCAGGAGGCTGTGAGTTTGATCCTCGGTAGAGGCAGATCGAAGGGGACGCAGTGGCTAAGGCGCTGAGCTTGTCGACCGAAAGGTCGGCAGTTCAGCGGTTTGAATCCCTAGTGCCGCCTAACGGAGTGAGCTCCTGTTACTTGCCCTAGCTTCTGCCAACCTAGCAGTTTGAAAGCACGCAAAAAATGCAAGTAGAAAAATAGGGACCATCTTTGCTGGGAAGGTAACAGCGTTCTGTGTGCTTTTGGCGTTTAGTCATGCCGGCCACATGGAAACATCTTCGGACAGTGTGGGCTCTTCGGCTTAGAAACGGAGATGAGCACCGCCCCCTAGAGTCGGGAACGACTAGCACGTACGTGCGAGGGGAACCTTTACCTTTACCTTAGAGGCAGATATTTCTCTCTCTGGGCACAATGAGAATTATATCTGCTGAACAAAACTCTGCATTGGCGACAGGAAGAGCATCCGGCCATTAAACACTCTGCCAGCTCCATTCAGTTGCCCAGACCACCTTGCAAAGGAATTATGGGGTCGTTAAAAGATGATGATGATATGCATCTCATAAATAAATGCATTTTTTAGCCAAAGGTTCTTTTTAATTGTTTTATATCCTGCTTTCCAGCTGCCTTGTGAAAAGTCATCTAAAACAGGGGTCTCCAACCTTGGCAACCTTAAGACTTGTGGACTTCAACTCCCAGAATTCCTCAGCCAGCTTTCTGGGAGTTGAAGTCCACAAGTCTTAAGGTTGCCAAGGTTGGAGACCCCTGATCTAAAACGAACGGTGACTCTAGCATCCAATCCCTGTGCTACAGTGTGGAGGGTTCGTTGGGCTGACCCTTTCTTTTTTCCCCCCTCCTCACCCAAGGTGCAGATAATGGTGGGACGTCATCTGGCAACTCCTCAGGAATCCCATCCAGCACCCCAGCCGGCAATTCAAAATCGAATTCAAGGAACTTGAGCACATCGGCCGGAGAAAAAGAGGAAGGCAAAAAAGTGAGGCGTCAGTGGGAATCCTGGAGCACGGAGGACAAGAATACCTTCTTCGAGGGCCTCTATGAGGTGGGTGCTTTCAAATGCTGGGAGCTGCTACAGGTGGTCCTCGACTCACGACAGTTCATTTAGTGACCGTTCAAAGTTAGAAAGGCACTGCAAAAAGTTGACTTACGGCCGTCTTTTCACACTCAACGACAGATGCAGCATTCCCCTTGGTCACGTGACCAAAATTTGGACGCTTGGCAACTGGTTCATAATTATGAAGAGCCTTGGTGGCGCAGCAGACTAAAGTGCTGTTAAGTAGCACCAGCTGCCTGCAATTACTGCAAGTTCAAATGTCACCAGGCTCAAGGTTGACTCAGCCTTCCATCCTTCCGAGGTAGGTAAAATGAGGACCCGGATTGTGGGGGCAATAAGCTGACTTTGTATAAAAAAGAACACCGCTTAGGGGGGGGGGGCCGAAAGCCCTACTAAGCAGGTATATACAAAAGTATGAAGGCTATTGCTTAATGCATTGTAAGCCGCCCTGAGTCTCCGGAGAAGGGCAGCATATAAATCAAACCAATAATAATAATAATAATAATAATAATAATAATAATAATAATAATAACGGCAGTCAGCAGAATTATCCTGCAGTACTGCATCCTAACCACTGCGCCACCTTGGCTCGATAATCCCCTTTTTGTGACCTTCTGACAAGCAAAGTCAATGGGGAAGCCAGATCCACTTCGCAGCCAGGTTACTAACGTAGCAACTGCGACGATTCCCTTAACAACTGCAGCAAGAAAGGTCGTAAAATGGGGCGAAACTCACTTAACAGGTGTCTCGCTTAACAACAGAAATATTAGGCTCAATTGTGGTTGTAAATCGAGGATTACCTCTACATCCTGCTCCAAAGACACAGGAGCAGTCTTTTAAGGCAAGCTTTAAAACCCGTCGAACATTTTCCGGTTATGGGAAGTAATCAAACTGTGCAGGTGAATCCTCGACTTACGACCATCATCGAGATCAGAATTTTGTCTTGCTATGCATTAAAATGAATTGTGCCCAACTTTTGCAACCTTTTTTCCAGGGTTGTTAAGCAAATCACAGCAGTTGCTAAGTGAATTATGCAGCTGTTGAGCAAATGCAGCTTCCTCTGTTGCTTGTCAGAAGCCGGCTGGGAAGGTTGCAGATTGAGATCACATGACCCAAGCACACCGCAACCGTCACAAGTGCAAGCCTGTTGCCAAGTGCCTGAATTTTGATCATGTGATGGTGAAGATGCTGCAACAATTGTAAATTCAAGGACTAGTTATAGGTTTGGGTTTTTTTAATGTGATTGTAATTTCGAATGGCTGCTAAACAAAACGGTTGTAAATCAAGGACTACCTTGATGTATACCCCATTGATGTCCCTAAGCAGCCTGAAATACTTACCTTATCCCAGTGTTTTGAGAGTATTTATTTTGAATGAATTGTAACCTACCAATGTTTCAGCTGCATTGTCTGGGTGGCCGGAAATTATAGTATGAAGAAATTCACCAGAATTTTTATCTATCTGAACCTCCCGATTGTAAGAAGGATGGATTTCTACCTGTGTGTTTTGTAGGATTCTGAATGCTAGCATTCATACAGAAAAACTTAATCTGGAATAAATGTCGAAATTCTAGAAACCTATACAGCCATTTTGACGACTGCAGGAAATCGCATGTAAATTTAGATATCAAACCGTCTGGAGGTAATGATGTGGAAACACGCCCGTTTCCCAAAAAACCCACGAAATTTTGATCCAACTCTGGAAGATGTGTGTCATCCAGTTATTCCTGCTGCCCCGCTTCTCACATTGTAATATTTGCATTTTTTATTTTTTTTTTAATTTTCAGCATGGCAAAGACTTTGAAGCGATTCAGAACAATATTGCCCTGAAGTACAAGAAGAAAAGCAAGCCAGCCAGCATGGTGAAGAACAAGGAGCAGGTCCGGCACTTCTATTATCGCACTTGGCACAAGATTTCCAAATACATTGACTTTGATAATGGTGAGCACACCCCCGAAAGGTTGGCTTGGCTTCTCTGAACGATGCAACAAGCTAGCGTAGTTTATCTTTGGATGGACACTGCTTGGTAGGTAGGGAGTAGTGTTGTGGCCCGTACGTGGCCTGTGCAGCTAGTAGCTGATTCCGACAGCGAGGAGGCTGGTGTGGTGTTGCGCCAGCAGCCTGTGCAGCTGGCACTCGAGTGAAGACAATGAGGAGGCAGGAGAAGATGTGGTGCCAGAGGCAGGGATTCAGCCAGGGCCTTCAGAACCTCCAGAAGCTCCCATAAGTGAAGAGGAAGAAGAGGAGGAGCCTCTTCTCGATGCATGGGCACGCAGAGCTGCCAAAAGGCAGGAGTGACTCCTCAGGAGGAGGTCTCGAGAGTAAGGCTTGGGGCTAATTGGCCACTCCCTTAGCTATTTAAGGAGGAACGCCGACTGAAGCAATTTGCAGGGAACAACTTCGTTCACATACCTTCGTGTCTTGTCTTGCTTATCAGCTTCCTGCAAATTGCTTCTGGGCATTCTGCCAGCCAGTAAGCTTTCAGTATTATTCTTTGACTTCTTGGCGGCTGTTAATGCAGTTAATTAACAGCCATTGTTGTAAAAAACTGGGTTATTGTGTAAACTAAGGTTTGAACAGAATTTGTGTGTGCTGCGTTGTTTGGGGTCCGTAGCTGGGGCAGAACAGATAGTAAGGAATGTTTAAGGATTTGCTCAGAGCGTTCTTGTTCAGGCGAATCAGATTCTCCATTCGATTTGCCCCGTTTTATGACTTTCCTCGCCACAGTTGTTAAGTGAATTGCTGCCGTTCTTAAATTAGTAACATGGTTCTTAAGCGAATCAGGTTTCCCCCATTGACTTTGCTTGCCAGAAGGTCGCAAAAGGGGGGAATCATGTGACTCCGGGACACTGCGACTGTCATAAATGTGAGTCAGTTGTCAAGCGGCTGAACTTTGATCATGTGACCCTGGGGGAATGCTACAGCGGTCGTAAGTGTGAAAAACGGTCACAAGTCACTTTTTTCAGTGATGGTGTAACTTTGAAGGTCGCTCAATGATCTGTTGTAAGTCGAGGTCTATCTATACTTCATTGAATTATGCCAAATGTTTTGGTTAATACCAGTAAACAACTAACTATCTTAAAAGTGAGTTGCCAGTTGTCAAACATCTGAATTTTGTTGGCGTGTCCATAGGGATGCTGCAATGGGCACGTGTGAAAAATGGTCATAAGCTGCTTTTTTCAATGTCCTGACTTTTGAGCGGTCACTAAACGAACTAAGTCAAGGACCCCTTGTGTTAGTACAGTGCTTCCATGGTGAAGGATTTGCTGGTGACATCTCTGTCGCCTGGGAGACATGCAGTTCATGCATCCCCATGAAATTGCCCACCAAAGTGGTACCCATTTATCTACTCGCAGTCACCTCCTTTCAAACCTCTGGGTCAGTGGGAGCCTGACCATGTGATGGGATGTTCCCCACGCCCACGCGGCAGCAGTGGGTCTCGAACATGAGACTGCCGATCATCAACCCAGTGTTCTAACCTCGTGAGCCGCTGCGCACCTTCCGTTATCATAGAATAGAATTTTTTATTGGCCAAGTGTGATTGAACACACAAGGAATTTGCCTTTGGTGCATACGCTCTCGGTGTACATAAAAGAAAAGATACATTCATCAAGAATCATAAGGTACAACACTTAATGATAGTCATAGGGTACAATATATACAACATCATATAATGTGTAAAGTAAAAAAAACAATATGAGGGTAGAAGAGTTACATAGCAGCATAGTATTTTTAATACCTTGAATAATCAGAATATTGCAGAAGATAGGTGCCAGCGTCATCCTGAAACCAGCTATGAAATGTATCCCCTTATCGAACAGTTAATATTAATTGCAGGGAGACCTACCCAGATCAGGTAACGTTGAAATAAATTAATTTTTTATTTTTATTTTATTTCGAATTTAGGGCGGTGACTCAGGGCGGTGTACAGCCAGCTAAAAACATACAATACAAACATTAAAAACAGTTAAAAGGATATATATTAAATGTCAGTATTTGTCTGCTAGATTCTTTTTAAAAAAGAGGATGCTCTTAGTTTTAATCCAATCACGTGCAAGTTTTGTGGTTTATTCTTTTCCGTGAACACCTGTGTTTTTCTTTTCTTTTGCAGTGTTTTCTCAAGGGCTGAAAAAATCCTCCCTTGAGCTTTACGGCTTAATTTGTTATGGGGAGCTGAGAAAGAAGATTGGGGGCTGTGAGTATGCTGTTTTTCGATGCCATGAAATTAGAAAGTATGGAAAGCTGCTCTCTTCACTGCTGCGGAAAACCCACTTCCCAACCATTTTGCCAGATGTTTCTAATTTTTTTCCCCTCCACAGTATTTTGCACATCGCTCTGCAGTGTGCATTTCTCTTGGCTTTGTGTGGGAGAGATTTCCAAGCATCATCTGCAGTTTGCTCTTTCAATGCAGAGTAGAAGGAAGCAGAAAACACGCCAGGAAGCATCTGTTATTTGTGGGTGTCATTTCACAAACAATGAGAAATCTGCTCGTCCTTGCCTTAGCAGAAGGATTAAAGAACTACACAAGATGACTTCTGCAGAATTGAAATCAGGGATCATATCTGACTACAGATTAGGAATGGAAACTAAAATGCAATTCTGAGTAGCTTTCTTTTTAAAAAAAACAAACAAACCACAATCCTCTCAGTATCCGACTTTGTCTCATCTAAAGTGACCGTAATTTTTTTTTGTTACACTTGGTTTTATCACACACTCTGATCAAAATTAGCAAATACGACTTGTCCTATTTAATCATTGGAAGTAAGGAATGTTTACTCCTTACTTCCAATGTTTATTCCTTACTTGCTTATTCCTACTGGAATTGGGTATGTTTAGTTTAATGAAAAAAAGAACTAGGAGTCACATGATGGCAGTGTTCCGATATCTCAGGGGCTGCCACAAAGAAGAGGGAGTCAAGCTATTCTCCAAAGCACCTGAGGGCGGGACAAGAAGCAATGGGTGGAAACTAATCAAGGAGAGAAGCAACCTAGAACTAAGGAGAAATTTCCTGACAGTGAGAACAACTAACCAGTGGAACAGCTTGCCTCCAGAAGTTGTAAATGCTCCCAACACTGGAAGTTTTTAAGAAGGGATTGGATAACCATTTGTCTGAAATGCAGGGGGTTGGACTAGAAGACCTCCAAGGTCCCTTCCATTCTGTTCTATTCTATTCCATTCTATTCTGTTCTTTGGGCCAATTAGGGAAGCCTTGATGTAGAACCTTTTATATTTCTCGCTGGATAATGATTCCTTTGAGGAACTTTGTCTTGTGTTGAAGGAAGGCTGCCTGTGGTTGTTGCAAGAAATGGTTTGTGTCCACGTTTGATTTTGCAAATATCTTGGGCCAATTCTAGTGGACACGTGGATCTCCATGCTACATCTTTTATATTTCCTTCATTCCAAGACCGTTTAGGCTGTCGCTTAGCTTTTCTTCCGTTTCCTTTTACTCTAACTGTGCGAAGTCCTTTGTATGCAATTAAATGGCATGACGTTTGATGCCCAAAATGCTTGTTTCTAGAATAACACGACGAATCTTGCTCCGTTGATTTTTAATTAAAATAATATCCCTCCCCCTAGGAATGACAGTTTTGTCGTGATAAAGATGGCCCTCGACCTGTTAATTATTTTGTGCAGTCATCTTTCGTTTTTGATATTCTGCTCATGATTCGATTTTTTTTTTCATATTCTTTAAAGGTATGGATGACAAAAACGCAGCTAAGCTCAATGAGCTTATCCAAGCTGGGTGAGTAAGTTTTTTTTTAAAAAAAACATGATATCTGTCATGAATAAAGGCGAAGATACGTGTCCCAGGATAATGTTTCAGGATCCAATCTGGATTGGTCACCGAGACCAGAGGTTTGGTCTTCCAAGCTTTCGGAAGTTTGGAGAAGTTCCTTGAAGATGAGCCTGAGTGCAAAAGCTCGGAAGACAAAACCTCGTTGAACGACCCAGATTGGATGATTGCTTCTTTTACATCTTTCATTCTTTCACGATACAATGATGTTTGTTACCTTGTACTCTGTCAAGTGCCTGATGGAACTTATTTCAGTATATTTTGCACGTGGTAAGCTGCCTAAAATCTTTTGGAGTGGGGTAACTATCATTCATCTAAATACGTAATTACATTAATGTGATCGTCAAGAATGAGCGAATGTTTGCTTGAGATTTTCAATGAGAAAAATTGTCCTGCCCTTGATTTGGACCCTATAAAGACAAACGCTACGGGAAGGGAATAGATTGTGCCAATCACAAAGATTTTGTCTACTTTCCTGTTGGTGTCCAGTGGTTAAGGCACCAGGGTAGAAAACAAAAGCGTGTGAGTTCTAGTCCTGCTTTAGCCAGGAAAATCAGCTGATGATTTTGGGTCCATCACCAAGCGATGGTGAGTTCTAGTCCTGCCTTAGCCAGGAAAACCAGCTGGGTGACTTTGGGTTCATCACCAAGAGATGGTGAGTTCTAGTCCTGCCTTAGCCAGGAAAACCAGCTGAGTGACTTTAGGCCCATCACCAGAAGATGGTGAGTTCTAGTCCCGCCTTAGCCAGGAAAACCAGCTGGGTGACTTTGGGTCCATCACCAGGAGATGGTGAGTTCTAGTCCCGCCTTAGCCAGGAAAACCAGCTGAGTGACTTTGGGTCCATCACGAGAATAATGGGAGTTGTACTCCTGTCTTAGCCATGAAAACCAGCTGGGTGACTTTGGATCTGTCACTCACTCTCAGCCCAATTTGCCTCACAGGATTATTTTTCTTGTGGAGAAAAGAGGAGGGGTGTGCGTTGGATACCTTCACTCCCCTTGAGTTATTTGTAAAAAAAAATACCAGTAATAAAGGCGGGATATCAATAAATCAAGTGAAATAAATCTTCAAGCATCTCACCCCCTTTTTAATATTCTTTTCAGAGCCACAACGGTTCGCTACAAAGGCAGGAACCTTCGGATCAAGGCCCCCATGTGCAGGGCTCTGAAGAAGCTCTGTGATCCAGATGGTACGTCGTAAATTCTGGGCAGGAAAGCCGCCAGCTGGCAGGGAGGAAAACCCTGTATGCCATCAGTCGTGTGACGCTCACTGTTAAAGGCAGATGGCGGGAAGGAACATGGACCAGAGAAAAAATTTGACACGTGAACTGGGCGTGCATTTTATTCTTAAGTCTTGGGAAGCTGTCCGAATGGTTCGATAATCCATCTTTTAAAATTTTCTATTACAGGCAGACCTCGAATTATGACTACAACTGATCCCAAAATTTCTGTTGCTTAAGTGAGACATTTGTTGAGGAGAGAGTTTTGCCCCCTTTTACGACTTTGCTTGCCGCCATTGTTAAGTGAATCAGCGCACATGTTACATTAGTAACGCGTTTTGTGAAGAGAATCTGGCTTTCCCCCATTTGGCTTGGCTTATCGGAAGGTCGCAACAATGGGGATCGCATGACCCCGGGAACCTGCAACCGTCATAAATATGAACCAGTTGCCAAGCGTCTGAATTTTGGTCGCATGGCCCTGGGGATGCCATAATGGTCATAAGTGTGAAAAACTGCCATGAGTCACATTTTCAGTGATGTTGTAACTTCGAACTGTCCCTAAATGTTGTAAGTTGAAGACCATCTGTATTTTGTACCTATTAAGCTATTCTGGGTTCATATTCTAGTTCTATATTTCGGCCTCGTCGACCTTCAAATCATACAGCAGTCCCAGGGGTAATGCACCTGACAGGTAGTCCTCAACATATGACTCTTTAATGATGGCTCAAAGTTACAACAGCCTTGGAAGAAATACCTTCCTTATGACCTAGATCCGTGATGGCGAACCTATGGCACGCATGCCCAAAGTGGCTCGTGGAGCCATGTCGCCAAGTCGTAAGTGCTATTACTATTTTAATTGTTCTCCTTAAACTGATGCTGCAGAATCAGACGGACACGGTTCAGGATCTGCTTTGTGTTTCCACTAGATCAGAAAACGATTTAATTCCCTGATACGGGTTCTCCTCGACTTTCAACCATTTGTTCTAGTGGCCTTTTGAAAGTGTAATAACCCTGAAAAAATGTGACTTATGACTGGTTTTGAAACTGATGGTCCTTGCAGCATCCCTGTAGCCAAATAATCCAAATTCAACTACTTTTTTTTTTTTTAATTTGATTTATATGCCGCCCTTCTCCGGAGACTCAGGGCGGCTTACAATGCATTAAGCAATAGCCTTCATTCTTTTGTATGTTTATACAAAGTCAGCTTATTGCCCCCACAAACTGGGTCCTCATTTCACCTACCTTAGAAAGGATGGAAGGCTGAGTCAACCTTGAGCCTTGGAGAGATTCGAACCAGCAGAAATTGCAGGCAGCTGTGTTAATAACAGGGTGCATTAAACCACTGTACTATCAAGGCTCTTGGCAACTGATTCATATTTATGATGGTTTGCAGTGTCCCGGGGTCATGTGTGATCCCCCGTTGCTACCTTCTGACCAGCAAAAGTCAGCGGGGGAAGCCAGATTGACTTAACAATCACCTTACTAATTTAACAGCCTCAGTGGTTCACTTAACAACTGTGGCAAGAAAGGTCGTAAAGTGAGGGAAAGCTCAGTTAATAATTGTCTGGCTTAACAACAGAAATTTCAGGCTTGATTAAGGTTGTAAATCAAGGATTTACAGATTGTCCTCTGGATGTGTGATTTCCCCGAGCATTTTGCCTAACCGGGCTAGCAGATAGGATTTCAGGCATCCGTTCTGTCCTATAGGTATAAGTGATGAGGAAGACCAGAAGCCTGTGCGTCTTCCCCTGAAGGTCCCTGTGGAACTGCAGCCACGGAATAACCACGCGTGGGCCCGTGTGCAGAGTCTGGCCCAGAACCCACGACTCAGGTACTTCAAAGGCTGGCTGTGGGAGGTGAAAGGGTGGAGTCTGGAGCCTTGAAATTGGATTCGCAGCAACAAGCAAAATAAAGTGGCTGTCTCCTTTAAGCAGAGAATTTGGGGTGTTGCTGGCATGTTCTACAAAGCACCGTATTTTTCGGAGTATAAGATGCACCTTTTCCCCCCCTAAAAGAGGCTGAAAATTTGGGTGCGTCTTATACTCCGAATGTAGCTTTTTCGAAGCTTTTTTTCAAGCCCTAACTAGGCGCTAGCCGAGTGAAGCGATCTCCCCCAGTGCTTTGCCTGCTTTTCTCATTGCTGCTTCCTCTCAGCTGTGCCTTAGAAGCTGTTTTTTATCCCCAAGCAGGGGATAAAAACTCAGCAAACTAATGTGCTGTAGCTGACCAGACTAAGGACGCTAGCCAGATGAATACCTGGTAGGCAGATTTTTTTCCCTATTTTCCTCCCTAAAAACTAAGCTGCGTCTTATACTCTGAAAAATACAGTATTTGAACCATTAAAAACAAGAAGAGGAAAAGATTGTAGGATTTTTTCCCCCCTTCCTGTTAAAATAGGTGTTTAAGGACCTCCTATCCTGTCCTGCTGTTTTACGCTAAGGTTTTATTTTCACTCTACTTCCAGTGAAGTAAAAATGGGAGTAATAGAATAGGTTGGGCTGTAGGTAGAGTTGGGGAAGGGTGATCTTTGCTTTGCTTAGCTTATCTAGTGAGACTTAGTTCCAGGGGTGGGCTCCTGGGGGTTCAGGCGATCCTGTAGTCAAGGATCGCTGGGGTTCAGTGAACCCCCAAATGCCACCCCTGGCTGGCCACGCCCACCCTGCCCCGACCCTCCCAGGAGTCTTCACGCGGCCCGTTCATCATTCCAGGTAAGTGCAGGGGCCACGTGGAGGGTCTGGGAGGACAAAAAACGGGTAGTTTTTTGGTACCGGTAGTTCCGGAAGTCCAGAAATGAGTCTGTTTCCACCCTCTGGAGGGCCTCTGGACCCCAGGGGAAGCAGTTTTAGCCCTCCAGAAGGCTCGAGAGCCTCCGGAGCCTGGGGAGGGCGAAAAACAGGCCTTCCAGAAGTCTGGAAACAGGCCTGTTTCCGGCCTCGGGAGGGCCTCCGGACCTTGGGGGAAGCAGTTTTAGCCCTCCCGGAGGCTCGAGGAAAGCCTCTGGAGCCTGGGGAGGGTGAAAAACACCTCTCCCCCCCTCGCCTTGGTGCAGGCGGCTGATTAGGCCACGCCCACCATGGCCACGCTCACCCAGCAATGGGGCAGCGAACCCGTTGCTAAAGAATCTGAAGCCCACCCCTGCTTAGTTCCCTTGCTAACAACATCCCTCATTTTCTGATTCTCCTATTCTTTCTTCCGTGACTTGACAGAATGATCGTGGAGCTGCATCGGAAGGTATCCAGCCTGATAGAATTCCTGAAACAGAAATGGGCTCTCCACGAAGTGCGTATCGTATCCTTTCTTTAATGCAGAAGTTAGTGGGATGGAATGTAGTCTGGATTCCCATGAGGGAGGGAGGGAGGGAAGGGCTGCATTCCAAAGGAAGCAAGAGACATCGCAGTTAGAGAGTTCGTCTGGGAGAAATGAGATGAAGACAGCTCCTGCCTAATAGTTCCCAGAGTATATGTTTAATAGTGCAAGTAGTCGGTTTTAATTTGGCAAGATTTCTGTCTGTCGTTTAGGAACAATGAAGGAAACTGCTTAGAACAACCTCGACCTGGGTGGGGCAGGGTGGGCGGGCCCAGCCAGGAGTGGGATTTGGGAGTTCTCCGAACAGCACAGAATCTTAGCTAGAGGTTCTCCCAAACCCCTAGCAGCCCATCCCTGCAAGCTGCCCCTTTTTGCTTCTCCACACCCGTCTTCCTAAACCCCCTGCTCACAGAGGAAAACACTAGCCGAGAGGCAGCTGCAAGATTGCAGAGATGCTGAAACCAGCAGCAGCTATTCCGAAGAGAAAACTACGCTTCACCTTTTCCCGGGGGAGAACTGCACGCTGACACCCCTGCCCGGGGTTGCCCGTGTGGTACACTCCAAAGCTTTCTGCACAGTGCATTGGCAAGAATCGGGCCGCTGCAAGCAGAGCACAAAGGATATCCACCTGTTGCCCCCTGCCCAAATCCTGGGCATACAGAGCGGTCAGGGGACAGCCAGAGGGCAGGTGAAATACTCACGGGGGGCAGAAAGTAAGGGCGGAACCAAGGCCGAAACTACTGCGGAAGCGAATAGAACTCCTACTCAGTTGATCCTTGATCCCGTCGCGAACCCGGAAGATTGCTCCTCCGAAGCTGGGCTTGCCGAAGGAGCATCCTTGGACCCCAGCGTCGCCAGCCATCTGAACAAGCCGCCTGCTGGGCTTCAGGACCCAAGTGGGAGCCTGGAGAAGTCCACTCCGGTGGCTGAGAGCAGAGAGGCGGCGCCCGCCGTTGCCTTGCCCGCCTCGGTAGACACCAGCGGCAGCGCCAAGTGCAGTTGTGCCGATCTCCCATCGGATTTGGAAGAACTGTCCCTGCTCGATCCCTTTCCCCGTTACATGAAGTCCTGCCACGATCTGATCGTCCCCGAGAAGTGTGTCTGCGCGGAGAAGATGGATCGAAAAGAGGTGGTTGCTGTGCCGGGAAGTTCTCCTCCCGGGGGGGTTTTCCCTGGCGGCACGGAGACTGGCCACCGCAGTCCCACACACCAGTTGGGGAGTGGCAGGGTGGACTTGCCCAGTGTTGGTCCATCCACTTCTGAAACTCAGGCCTTCCGCTTCTCCGCACTTCAAGCGGAACCGTGTGTGAAGGAGCTCCCTGACGCAGTAATGGAGGATTCTCAGGAGAAGCTCAACCCCTCACTGCCACCGCCGCCTCCACCACCGCCTCCACCGCCACCTCCAGCTCAGGGACAGACGGCCGCAAAGCCTCTCAAGGATGACCCCAGCCACCTCGCACAGCAAGTGCGAGAGAAGGGATGGAGCCTGCGGACCTCTGAAAGCCTTACCTTGGCTGAAGTCTACCTCATGATGGGCAAGCCGAACAAATTGCAGCTAGAATACGATTGGCTGGCAGTCCTGGGGCAGGAAACTCAGGATGCCGGGGAGCCGATCGCCGAACCGAAATCTGCTCCTCCGTCGGCCGCTTTTCACAAACAGAAACTCCTCAATTGCCTCTTGAAACTCATCTCTTCTGAAGTGAACCCCAAACCGGTAAGTCTCTGTTTGGACTCATTAAGCGCCGTAGATTCGACCGTGTTTTCACCTTCTTAAGTCGGGGGTCCTCAAAACTTTTTTAAACGGGGTCAATTCACGGTACATCAGACTGGGCGGGTGTGGCTAGGTGGTCATGTGACTGGGCGGGTGTGGCTAGGTGGTCATGTGACTGGGTGGGCGTGGCCAATTTAGCAGTCCATTAAACCAGGGGTCTCCAACCTTGGCAACTAAGACTTGTGGACTTCAACTCCCAGCAAAGCTATCTGAGGAACACTGGGACTTGAAGTCCACAAGTCTTAAAGTTGCCAAGGTTGGAGGCCCCTGCATTAAACAATACACACAAATTAAACTTTAATTTGTTATGCTCCTGGGGGTGGAAAGCAGATTAGTGAAGGGATGTGGCTGCCTGGGGATGTATGAGGGACTTCTGTTTCTGTGTGGGTCTCTCCCTCCCTCCCTCCCTCTGTCTTTCGAGGCTGGGGAGGCCAAAAAGGGGCCCATTTTTGGCCTCCCGGAGCCTCCGCGTGTCCCGTTGTTGGCCTCCTCAGCCTCCAGAAGGCAGGTGAGGGCCGACGGTTAGGTGGGGTGATGTGGGCGGGGCAGCCTCGTAGTCCCACGTGGGCTGGATTAATGGCTTTGGCGGGCCGTAGTTTGAGGACCCCTGTCTTAAGTCATCGTAACAGATCCCGTGAATGAGTTTGGCTGAAGGTGACCTCCGTCTTTCCCTGTTATTCAGATGCGGCCTTTAAAATCTTTTACAACTGGCTTGCAGCTTCCCTCCTCTGCTTGCCTCTCTCCTCTGAAATAATGACTTTAGGAAATAGGATTATTTGGAATAATTTGGATCTTCTTTTTAAGCTTATTTGCAACGGTGGTTAATATTGGCATCTACTGTCCATTGCCACGTTAAAAAAAAAAAAAAAAACACCCAGAAAAGGCAGAACAGGGAGAATTTTCATCATTTTTTTTTTTAGTTAGACATAATCCTCGCTTAACGACCAGAATTAGGAACGGCAATTCCGTTGCTAAAGTACTGCAGTAGCTAAGCCAAAATTCACATGACCATGTCGCACCTACCTCATTTCCACTTTTGCGATTTCCCTTCATATATACCCAGCCCAAAATTATGATTGTGAGCGATCAATTTTAGATAGGCATATATATATATATATGTCTTTTTTCCTTTTTCGTAGGCTTCTACATGCATATTCTTTCTAGCCAGGTTCCACCTATGTAAGCTAAGTTGTTCTACAGCCCTAGTTCTGTGAAATCTCATTCACAAGTTTCTCCCAAATTGCAGCACAGAGTTGTTGCTTTTCAGCAGGATACAAAAAGCCCAGAAACTTGTGAATGAGATTTCACAGAACTAGGGCTGTAGAACAACTTAGCTTACGTAGGTGGAACCTGGCTAGAAAGAATATGCATTTATATATATATATATGTAGATATGTGTGCAATAACCAAAACTGATAATTCATACATATGTAAATGTATAAATATAATGATCAATTTTGGGTGGGCGCACCTAGGTTTTTATGAGGCCTACTGGGTTTCTAGGGTAGCCTTTAAAAGCTTTTCAAAATTCGGCAGCCCTTGACTTAAGGCAAACGTTTCTGGACCCCTGGGCTAGACCGCGAGTGAATTAACCGCTATCCTCTCCCACTATGGTAGTTCTGAATGTTCTTTGGAATAGCTGCTCTTTAACCTTGGATGATGATGATGATGACAAAGAAGATGACAATGATGATAGTTTGAAGCACCCTGCAATTGAGACTTCACTGCTTCCTTTCTAGATCCCCGAAATGAATTCCGTTGCAACCTCCCCCATCAAGCCCATACAAGAGGAGCATGCTTTGACCCCTCCCGGGAAGGTGATTGCCATTAGCACCAGGAGTCCGGGCTGTGCTCGCAATCAACCTGCGCTTCATAAGAAGACCTTTTCCCCCAGTGCCACTCCCAACTCCTCAGGTGAGTCAGTCATACAGTGTTTCCCTGAAAATGAGACCTCCCCGGATAATAAACCCAATTGGGCTTTTGAACGCATGGGATAAAATAACCCCCCTCCCCCTGAAAATAAGCCCCTCCTGAAAATATTTAAACGCATGCGCAACCGGTCCCCACCATTTTCTCTGGTTAGTGTTAGGGAGACAGAGCTGGAAATCAGGTAAGACGGCAAGACGAGCCCCGTCTTGCTCCGTGTGCCCCAAAATAATAAGACCTCCCCGAAAATAAAGCCAAGCGCTTATTTCGGGGTTCAAAAAAATATAAGACGGGGTCTTGTTTTCAGGGAAACACAGTATAGAAAACCTGTCCACCCTGTGGCGTGTCCACATCGACGTGCCCCTTCTAAATTCTGCAACCTAGGAAGTCTCCAGATTTGGGGAATCTCTCGGATTCATTATTCGATTGGGCAATGTGGTCCAAGAGTCATTTTCAAGTTTGGCGTTTGAGGAAATCATCCTGTCGTTTGGAATTCGGCAACTTGGAGCAAGCTGTAGATTTTGTCAGTTCTCCGAGAACAGAACTGAAGAAACCTTCTTAGATGAGAGCGAACCGTTTTCGAAGGAAAATTAGCAAGTCCAGTTGCCTTTTGGAAAAGCACCTTTGGGGGGGGGTGTCCGAGAGAGGTGTTTCTCAACCTTGGCAACTTGAAGACTTCAAGTCTCAGAATTCCTCCAGCCAGAATTCTGAAGGAATTCTGGGAGTTGAAGTCCAGTCATCTTCAAGTTGCCAAGGTTGAAAAACACTGCTCTAGTAGGGAGGTTTCACTCATTCATTTCCCTATTTCCTTGTGATGTAATTCACACCTTCCTGCAGATCCATACAGATTTATGGAAGTACTTCCAAGGTAAAGGTAAAGGTTCCCCTTGCACATATGTGCTAGTGGTTCCCGACTCTAGGAGGCGGTGCTCATCTCCGTTTCAAAGCTGAAGAGTCAGTGCTGTCCGAAGGCGTCTCTGTGGTCATGTGGCTGGCATGACTCAACGCCAAAGGCACACAGAACACTGTTACCTTCCCACCAAAGGTGGTCCCTATTTTTCTACTTGCATTTTTTTACATGCTTTCAAACTGCTAGGTTGGCAGAAGCTGGGACAAGTAACGGGAGCTCACCCCATTACGCGGCACTAGGGATTCCAACTGCTGAACTGCTGACCTTTCGATCGACAAGCTCAGTGTCTTAGCGGCAGAGCCACCACATCCCAAGTTCCAAGACTTTTCCTAATAAAAATCTTCCCTGGCTGCCCTTCTCCGTAAATCAACACTTAATGTCTTTATGACAGGTTTCCGAAATCCTTCTAAACCCCTCTTGGTGGCTAGTTCTTCATGTTCCAGCAACCCGGATGCTGACGGCGGCCTCTTTGCCATTCCCACAACCCTCCCACCAAACAGCAGGCACGGGAAGCTTTTCTTGCAAAACAAAGAAGCAGACTTGAGCTTCCGCCAGCGCTTGGACACCATCAGTGTGAGTCTTAAAATGTGTAAATGTCACGTTAAGAGAAAAGCAACCCAGTCTTCCTCGTAGCTGGTAGTAAAGTTAAAGCAACTACCAGCTCCAGGTCTCAGTCTTGGTCATCATGTTAAGATTTCATGGCATTTTATGTCCTTTATATGTTATGGTTTACAGCTGTGTTGTTGGGGAACGAGGCAAAAAAATCTCAGGTTTACACAAAATTTGGGAAAGAATGAATACAGAATTCCAGCCCGTAGGGAATCACATTGCCTGCTTCTTCCTCTGCTGTTACATTCCTGTTTTCTCCATCATCAAAACATATTTTGAAGTCCTCACTTTCCAGGCAGAACCACACAATCTGAAATCAAGTTTCTTTGTTTGTTAAATGTATTTGCCATCCATCTCACTGAGGGGTTACTCCCTGCTTTTAGGGGGGAAGAGCCTGCCATTCTTTCGAAGATTCTGATGTCTTGCAGAATAATATTACTCTGCTCTTTCTGCTACCAGGTTAACTGGACACATTTCATATTCTCTTATATACCATATTTTTCAGAGTATAAGACACACCTTTTTCCCAAAAAAAGAGGGTGAAAATCTGGGTGCGTCTTATATTCTGAATGTAGCTCTGCCCAGCCTCACAAACGGAGATTTCAGAGGCCGAAAAAAGCCTCTGAAAGAAGCTTCAGAAAAATAGCCTCTGAAAGGCTTTTATCTAAAATAATATGGCAAGCAACTAAGGAAGAATCAGTAAAGGTTCTAACCAAACTATGCTAACAAATCTGGAGAATGACACAATAACCAACAGGTCGGAAGAGGTTAATCTATATACCAATACCAAAGAAAGGAGATTGAACAGAATACAGATAGTCCTTTAGAATAAAAGCCTCTAAAAGAAGCTTCAGAAAGAAAGCCTCCAAACAGCTTCAGAAAAGAAGCCTTTTTTTCCTGAAGCTCTGTTTTGAAGGCTTTCAGAGGCAGAAAAAAAGCTTTTTCTGAAATGGAGTTTCAGAAGTTTCAGAGGCAGAAAAAAAGGGCAAGGCTCAGAGCTCACAACCAAGGAACCTGTTGCTAAAATTCACCTCTGAGAACAGCTGATTGGGGATATTCCGGGAGGGCGATCCACCCACCAATCAGCTTTTTTCTTATTTTCTTCCCCAAAAACTAAGGTGCGTCTTTTATTCTGAAAAATACGGTAAGTTACAGTAGTGGCCAAAATTGTAGAAACCTTTGGGGAAAAGTGTATTTTTGAGGTTTGATGGCTAATAACACCACTTTTTTGGGGGGGAGTTTCAAGATCATCCTATTCTACTGCTGGAGTGGCCTGGGAATAGCCCAGACCTTAACCCAATTGAAAATCTAGGGAGCTGACTCAAGAAACTTGGTGGTCAGAAGCGACCCAGCAATAAAACCCAGTTAACAGAAGCAATCATTCAATCTTGGTTTCACATTAGAACAGCTGCAGAACTAAAAGACTTGGTTCACTCCATGGGACCACCTTGTAAGGCCGTAATTCATGGTAAAGGTTACCCAACTAAGTATTAACTCACCTGGGGATAATTTTTGTATATCTCTTTTTTTCTATGTGTTTCACTTTTCTTGTTTATACTATAACTGCTCTTCTAATAGCAAATCCTTCATAAAAGTTATTGCATTACATTTTTGATTAAATTATCTTTCCATTGAAATATAATTTTATGGTACTACTCCCCAAAAAAAGTGGTGTTATTAACTAGTTTTAGACAATACACTTTTCCCAAAAGTTTTCCACAATTTTGGCCACCACTGTATGTAGAACCACAGAACCACTCTCTTTGCCACAAAAGAGAGACTACATCAATGTGAGCTGCTGAAATTCCTTTCATGCAACAAGCCAAGCATCACTGGTCTAGTTAGAGATATCAGAATCCTGTATCATGAACTACTGTTTCTCTTTAGATGCAATCAGATTTTTTCTTGCCAAAGCCAAGAAAACTACGCAGCAGACACCTGCGGAAGCCGCTAGTTGTACAGGTAAGAGAGAACGGCTAATTAAAATACATTCTTCACTCGATTGACAGATAGGTTCATTTGGCTTGGGGGGTGGGGGGGCTTATTGTTAAGTTGCTTTTCTCCCCGTCCATTTGGACAGAGGTAATGGGTTCCTCCTGCTTAGGTTGTTCTCTGTCTTGAGCAGGGGTCTGCCACCTTAAACACTCAAAGAGCCATTTGAACCCGTTTCCCACAGAAAAGAAAACACCGGGAGCCACAAAACCCTTCCCGTGCCTGACTATTCCTTGAGCAGCCACAAAACTAGCATATGTATTTGAATTAAACGTTCTGTTTTCTTCTGAAACTTTTCTTTTCTTGGATTTATCCATGGTTGGCCTACCAGGGATTGAAAAGCTCAATAAATCGCGTGCCAGTAGGTTTTGCACATTGGCTGTTGTGATGCATATTTTGAGTGACAGGGAGCTGCAGCAGAGGGGTGAAAGAGCCACATGCGGCTCCAGAGCTGCAGGTTGCTGACCCCTGGTCTTGCGCAAGCAGAGGCCTGTCAGCATGACTGAGAAGCAGATTGCCTAGTCATTTCAGTTAGACTACCAAAAAAGAAAAAAGAAAAAAAGCCAAAGGTACATCTCTATGTCATGTAGAATGGATCAGACTTGAATAGACATTTAGAATTCTTTTAAGGTACAGAAATTTGATTCTCAAATGGGTATCCTAAGAAGGATTTTTGGTTTTCCCCACACTCTGTTAAAAAGATGGGCAATTTTTAGCCATCTTTCCTGGGGAAGAAAAGGAATAGGAGAAAGAGTAATTTTGTATATAAGTCTTAGTTCCTGTCTGTTGCCAGCATATAGCCCTCAGCACATAAACCCCCAAAGAATATAGCTTTTCCATATCAGGGGTCTCCAACCTTGGCAACTTTACGACTTGTGGACTTCAACTCCCAGAATTCGCTGGTTGAGGAATGCACTGGCTGAGGAATTCTGGGAGTTGAAGTCCACAAGTCGTAAAGTTGCCAAGGTTGGAGACTCCTGCTCCATATAAAATCAAACTTCTCCAACCCTTAACTTAGCTGAATGCAATAAGATATCTGCAAGGCCTCCCAGGCGTTCATAAATATACAAATAGTCCTCGACTTACAATTGAGCCCAAAATTTCCATTGCTAAGTAAGGCAGTTTTAGAATAGAATAGAATAGAATAGAATAGAATAGAATAGAATTCTTTATTGGCCAAGTGTGATTGGACACACAAGGAATTTGTCTTTGGTGCAAATGCTACATAAAAAGACAAGATACATTCGTCAAGAATCCTAAGGTACAACACTTAATGATAGTCATAGAGTACAAATAAGCAATCAAATCATACTAGGAAACAATATAAATTGTAAGGATACAGCAACAAGTTACAGTCATACAGTCGTAATGTATGGGAGGAGATGGGTGATAGGAACGGTGAGAAGACTAATAGTACCGTGTTTCCCTGAAAATAAGACCCTGTCATATTTTTTTGAATCCTGAAATAAGCGCTTGGCCTTATTGCCATGCACTCAAAAGCCTGATTGGGCTTATTGTCGGGGGATGTCTTATTTTGAGGGAAACAGGGTAATAGAAATGCAGCCTTAGTGAATAGTTTTGACAGTGTTGAGGGAATTATTTGTTTAGTAGAGTGATGGCGTTCGGGAAAACAATGTCCTTGTGTCTAGTTCTTCTGGTGTGCAGTGCTCTATATTGTCTTTTTGAGGGTAGGAGTTGAAACAATTTATGTCCAGGATGTGAGGAGTCTGTAAATATTTTCACAGCCCTCTTTTTGACTCGTGCAGTATACAGGTCCTCAATGGAAGGCAGGTGGGTAGCCATTGTTTTTTTCTGCAGTTTTAAGTGAGTTTTGCCCTATTTTATCCCCCCCTTTTCCCCCCACAATTGTTAAGAGAATCATTGCAGGGAGTGTTAAGCAAATATGGCTTTCCCCACTGACTATGCATGTCGGAAGCCAGCTGGAGACATTACATATGGTGATCGCATGACCCTGGGACAGCACAGCTGTCATAAATGCATGCTGATTGCCAGGTGTCAACATTTCCATTGCTAGGAATTTTGATCGTGTAACCATGGGGATGCTACAACAATGATGTAAAAACTGGTCAGAAGTCTCATTTTTCAGTACCTGCGTAACTTCGAACAGTAAACTAAACAAATGGCTGTAAATTGAGGACAACATATAACACCATACAGAATGTATTTGGAGATTGCATGACGATTGGACATGGACCAGGGAGATACAATCCAGACACCATTGGGGATCTTTTATTTTTCTTTATAAAGTTATATCTCGCTTTCTTCTTGCAGAGGACACTGCTTCCTAGACCTTCCGAAAATCCTTCCCAGCATGTTTGTTCCTTTTCCATCTTATCGAACTCCTCCATAACAGGTGAGCTGCTCAGCCACGTGTATAATCTGAGTAATACGTTTTACACTGAACGGAGAAGGCTGTAAATTCTTTAGCCAGAAGGGATTTAAAGTTGTAGCCTTTTCTATCTATGGGCTCGTCCCAGACCACGAGCTGTGGTCTCAACAGCCCTGTGTCAACAAGTCTTTATTTTGCTTGTTTATGTGACATCCTTCCTTCACAGAGTGGAGTTCGATCCTAGGTAGAGGCAGATATTTCTCTCTGTGGGCACAATGAGAATATATCTGCTGAACAAAACTCCGCATTTATTTATTTATTTTTATTTATTGGTTTGATTTATATGCCACCCTTCTCCGGAGACTCAGGGCGGCTTACAATGCATTAAGCAATATAGCCTTCATACTTTTGTATATACCTGCTTAGTAGGGCTTTTTTGGCCCCCTTAAGCGGTGTTCTTTTTTATACAAAGTCAGCTTATTGCCCCCACAAACTGGGTCCTCATTTTACCTACCTCAGAAGGATGGAAGGCTGAGTTAACCTTGAGCCTGGTGAGAATTGAACTCGCAGTAATTGCAGGCAGCTGGCAGCTAAATGCTACTTTAACAGCAGTTTAGTCTGCTGCGCCACCAAGGCTTTGGCGACAGGAAGAGCATCCGGCCAGTAAACACTCTGCTAGCTCCATTCAGTTGCCCAGACTCCACCCCGCAAGGGATTATGGGGTCGTTAAAAGAAGATGTGACATCCTTCCCCCCTCTGGGGAGGTAAAACATGAGCCTTTGGATAGAATTCTAAGGACGTTGATGGGGAAGCATGCTTCAAGGAAATTTGGGGTCCTGGGATCCTATTAAATTGCCATGATAAACCCCAAGTGAGAGCTGAGAAAAGATACAAGCATTTAACCAATAGATGCTGAAGGGTCTCTCGCTTGAGCAGGGGGTTGCACTAGAAGACCTCCAAACTCCCTTTCCAACCTGTTTTCTATGTTTGCCATATCCTTATGTTGCCCATTCTTTCTATTGGGGGCCTCTACAGCTTTTATCTTCGGTTTTCTTTGAGAAAGACTCAGAACTGGGTGCCATATGGGATATAACTCCTTTTTTTAGCGCTTTTTAGTCTTTTAGCTTTTTAAGTGTAAATTGGGTTTTAATTGGATTGTTTTAAATTGTGGGCCAAAGCTGTATAATTCTTTTAATTGATTTTAAATTTGTATTGGTATGCTTTTTATCCTTGGCTGTGCACCACCCTGAGTCCAATAGGAGAAGGGGATATATAAATTGAATTAAGAATAAGAATAAGAATAATAATAAGTGACTTTTTGTTGTTGTTGTTTTCAAATTTCAAAGTTGTTTTCAAATTTCAAAATTGGTGTGCGTTTAACCATTCCTGCTGTTTTTTGATTGTATTCCTTCTTTAGGAAGGGGATCTTTTCGGCCAATCCAGTCATCGCTGACTAAAGCTGCCGTATCTCGCCCCATTGTTCCCAAGATCCTTCCAGCTCAAGCCACCAATCGTCTGTCTAGTAAGTTTTTTTTTCCAAAAAAAGTCCAGGCCCAGAGAGGTAGAGGTAGGGTTAGGTTTCCATGGGAAGGAATCCCACTGGGATGTGTGTGTGTGTGATACACTTAAGAGTTAGGGTTGGGTCTCTATGAATTCAGAGAACAAAATGGACATCGCCAACAAGTTTGTAGCTCATTCAGTATATTTAAGAGGGCTTTGACTTTTCAAGTCTACCTTACCTAAGTCTCCTGGTAAAATACATGGGAAAATCACAATTTGGGGGAGGGGGGGAAATCCATTTAGGGTTAGCTCTCCATGAATTCGGAAAGCAAAATGGACATCGCCAATGGATTTGTGGAATGGAATGGAATGGAATGGAATGGAATGGAATGGAATGGAATGGAATGGAATAGAATAGAATAGAATAGAATAGAATAGAATAGAATAGAATAGAATAGAATAGAATAGAATAGAATAGAATAGAATAATTTATTAGCTGTGTGATTGGACACACAAGGAATTTGTCTTTGGTGCATATGCTCTCAGTGTACATAAAGAATAAATAAAATATATTTGTCAAGAATCATAAGATACAACACTTAGTGATAGTCATAGGATACTAATAAGCAATCAAATCATACTAGGAAACAATATAAGTTGTAAAGATACAAGCAACATTGATATAGCCATAAGTGGGAAGAGTTAGGTCCTAGTAAGGATGAGAAGAAGAATAGTAATACACTCTTAATAGTTAATTTGACAGTGTTGTGGGAATTAGTTATTTAGCAGAGTGATGGCATTTGGGGAAAAAAACTGTCCTTGTGTTTTGTTGTTCTGGTGTGCAAAGCCCTATAGCATCGTTTTATGGGTAGAAGTTGAAACAATTTAGATCCAAGATGTGAGGGGTCTGTAGATATACATGTAGCGCATGGATATGCTTAGGGCGGTGCTGACTTTTTGAGCCTGCCTTATCTACATTCCCTGGTAAAACATATGGGAAAGTCCCATTTGGGACACAAATCCACTTAGGATTCGCTCTCCATGAATTTGGAGAGCAAAATGGACATCGCCAACAGATTCGGAGCTCATCTGTATGCTTAGGAAGGTGCTGACTTTTTGTGCCTGCCTTATCTGGGTCTCCTGGTAAAATACTTGGGAAAATACCATTGGGGGAAAATCCAGTTAGGGTTAGGTCCCCATGAATTCAGAGAGCAAAATAATTCATAGCGCATGGGTGTGCTTACCCATGCTCTGACTTTTGAACCTGCCTTATCTGCGTCTCCCAGTTATTACTAGTTCTGAAGTAACCGTTTCTGTCTTTTCCCCATGATTAGTTTTTGAAGTGCTCATTCTGTTCACCCAGGTCTCAAATGCTTTTGGAAAAGATCCTATTGACCTGGTTTAATGATTCAGGTGATATCAGGACAATGGAGATTTAAGATTTTAAATAAGGTTGAGATAATGAAGCCATGGAAAATCTTAGCTTTTTGAGAGAGAGAGGTCATTTCCATTCAGTCATTGTCTCATTTAGCAACCGTTTGAGTTACCGCCGTGATGAAAAAATAACTCGGCCACCAGTTCTCGCATTTTACATCCTTCGCAGGTCTGTAAGCAAAGAAAAGCCGAAATAAGATCCTAAGCACAGTCGTGGTTTCACTTAGTGACCTCTTTGTTTAATGATTGAGTTGCCGCTCTCAGTTGTGGTCACTAAACAAGGACTACCTATACTGAATGGGTGAACTATGTAAATATAAGAAGGTGCTATTAAAACAAAGTGTTTTCCCTGCTGGTGTAGATGTAACATTGCCAGAACCTCACGTTTAGTGTTCCGCTAAAAACTTTGGTTTCAGAAAAATGTCCTTTCTCACATTTGCTGTTTTCTGTCCAAAGGTGCGATTGATTTGGCGGCTAAATCAGCCGGTATTATCCCCGGCAGTCCGTTGCCACTTCTAGGGACCGAAGGCTTGCCAAGCGTTTCCCCGCTCTCACCAGAGGCAGTAACCACCGTAGTTGGAGGTCAAGACTCCACAGTGGCACGTCAGAATGGAGGCTCCATAGCAACAGTGGCGGTCAGTTTTCAACTTTACTATAAAGTTTCTCTTCTTTTATGTCAGAGTGTTTACAGCGTGACTTACTATTTTGAGGCAACCCAAGAGCAAAATACAGGACACAGAGGTTTTGTCTTTACAAACAGTGGTTTATATACAAGTTATATACAGCAGTGGTCCCCAACCCCCGGTCCGCGGACCGGTGCCGGGCCGTGGAGTACCTGGCACCGGGCCGCGCAGCGGCCGGGGGACATGAACGCTGCAGCGCAAAGGCTCCTGGGCCGTGCGCAAAAGCTCCTGGGCCGTGCCCCCACCCCTGCGCGCGCTCAGCGGGCCGCGGCGATAAAAAGGTTGGGGACCACTGATATACAGTATATATCAGGGGTGAAATCCAGCAGGTTCTGGAGAACCGGTAGTGGAAATTTTGAGTAATTCAGAGAACTGGCAAATACCACCTCTGGCTGGCCCCAGAGTGGGGTGGGAATGGAGATTTTGCAGTATCCTTCCCCTGCCATGCCCACGAAGCCACACCACGCCCACCAAGCCACGCTCACAGAACCGGTAGTAAAAAAATTTGGATTTCACCACTGGTATATATACATACACGTGCTAAGCAAAGCCAGGCAATCAATCTTCAACTCTACACGGAAGCACACACGGAGAACTACAATGCAGATACCCGAGGAGAGAGAGAAAGACGCCCTCTAATGGCCTCCCTTATATAGGCAGCTTCTTAAAGGGCAATAACCCTGCTGACTCATCCTCAGTCTTAAAGGGCTGGTCAGCTTTAAATCCTCATCACCCTGACATTTTATAACCAACTTTATCCAATTCTAATACAGGGTTAGGCATCTGTGGCAACTTTACGACCTGTGGACTTCAACTCCCAGAATTCCTAAGCTAGCATGGCTGGCTGGCTCAGAGATTCTGGGAGTTGGAAGTCCACAGGTCATTGAAGTTACCATAGTTGCCCACCCCCTGTTCTAATAGGATGTTGCTTTGGGCACTACATGCACCAATCAGACGCCAGGTTCCAAAAAAAAACTGAGAAAGACACATTGTGATTCTTCTGAGCAGATTTTATTGTTCTTGACTTACAGACAGAATCTTGCCAAACTGAAGCAGACTTAACTCCCTGCATGAAGCATATATTCTTGGAACTAATGAGGAGGAGCTGTCTTCACTCTCTTTCTCTCACACATAATATCTGTGCTGAGTTTTGCCTCTTATTCCTCTTGGAAATCCACCCCTCTATATTCCATGCCTTTAGACTCCTCCAGGCAACCAAAACCCTTTAAAAATCTTGATCTGTCTTACTCTGCATCCTTACCCTACGTCACAGCCCCAGCTTTCCAGAAATGGCCTCTCTACCCCAGTCCAGATTGACACTGCATTTACTATCTTAGACATGAATGATTTGTTCTACGGGATAGTTATAGTTGTCCCTGCCCTCTGTAACACAAGAGAAGGACTCCCAGGCCAGCTAACCATGATAGCTAATGGAGATGCTATGTTTGGACCTAGGCTTCTCCAAACCACGAAGCCGAGTCCTCATCCCGACAAAAACCCCTTTTGTTTCATTTACAGTGAATTCCTCTCCAGCAAAGTCTTTCTTCTCCCATAGTCTTTCAAGATAGTTCACAATTAACGACCTTTATCAGGCTTGGAGAGTGGCCAGGCTCATATCTTTCAAGAATGCAGGAATGAAGTAATTGTCTCCTGCAAACTCCACTCCCCTTTCGCTCCTCTTTTATTCCCTCTGGGAGGGGCCATTCATCGTCCACCTGTGGCCTTACTCCCAAATCGACCCTTGTTCTTTAGCTGTTCCCTTCGTCTGTCAGCTCTGCACATGCGCACACTGGGAACAGGCTCCAGCTGTTTATCTGCCTGACTGATGTCTGACTCCAAAGGCAGCTGATAACTGGCATACGGCCCTGGCCCCCTCTCTGCCTCCGACGCAGAGCCCTCATCAGAGACTTCCTCAGACTCCAGGATTGGCCCATGTTCCTCCCCAACCACCTCACTGTCCGAATCTGCTGCCAGATCCACTGGTTTTCCTGAATTTCTATTCTGTATCTTCCCTTTTTTCTTTTACCATTTATTGGTTAGATTTATTTCTCCTTTTTTTCTTCGGAAACTCCTTGACAGTAGCAGGGCAGGCATGATATAATAAAGCATTAATGTTCCATAATTTCAGTGCCTCTCTTTCAGCCGTGTGGCTCAGGCAGTCTTTCTTGATTCCAGGGTTCAAGCCATGAATGTCGGGTTCCTTTCCTTGGTCTACCATCCCAGCCTGAGCAGGAAGCCATTCCTGATGGCTTCCAGGTAAAGTATATTTAACTAATAATTACTTAACACTTCAGAACTTAATACGGTAGATACTAACGCTGTAGTTCTGATTAAGGAGGCTGTCTGCGCAACCAGTATTTGAGCCGCTTGCAGCGTATTTTTAGACAGAGTTATTTTAGAATAGTCATTTTGGAAACTCTTTCATCCCTAAATAAAGAAGATGACACGATAGCAGCATTTGAGGGGCTGCCACAAAGAAGATGGGGTTAAATTATTCTCTCCAAAGTAACAGAGGGCAGGACAAGAAATAATAGTTGGAAACCGATCAAAGAGAGAAGCAACCTGGAATTAAGGAGAAACTTCCTAACAGTGAGGACAATTAACCAGTGGAACAGCTTTGCCTTCAGAAATTGTGGGCGCTCCATCACTGGATGTTTTAAGAAGAGACTGGTCAGCCACTTGTCTGAAATGGTATAGGTTAGTGGTGACTAACCTTTTTGCCGTCGCGTGCCAGAAGTGAGGGGAGTGCGGGGGGGTCGCGTGCGCGCGTGCCCACACCCATAACTCAAGGGACATGCACGCACGACCCTCCCGCACTCTCCCCACTTTTAGCACGCAATGGAACAGTGGGCCTGGTAGGCCTGTTTATCACCCTCCCCAAGCTCCAGAGGCTTTCTTGGAGCCTGGGGAGGGCAAAATGGCCTTCCGCACCCCCCAGGAGTCCCTCCGGAGGCCAGAAACAGCCTGTTTCCCAACTTCCGGTGGGCCCGGAAGGCTAGAAAATCAGCTGGCCGGCGCACGCATGCACGCTGGAGCTGAGCTAGGGCAACGCTCGCATGCCCACAGATACGGCTGCACGTGCCACCTGTGGCATGCATGCCATAGGTTTGCCATCACGGGTATAGGTTCTCCTGGTTGAGCAGGGGGCTGGACTAGAAGACCTCCAAGGTCCCTTCCAGCTCTATTCTGTTCTAAGATTGGCGAGGCACTCATCTGAATGTTGTGTGAACTTTTAAAGCCTGTTACGAGATACCCGAATATTTTTTCCCTCCACAATCTGTGAATGCATGACACATGCTAGTCCCTGTAAACGCCGATACGCTCATCGTCGCAGAGAAGCAACAACAACAAAAAAATCTTGCTTGCTAGATCAAAATGTGAGGCGCAAAGATTGCAAGAAGGCAATTGTGAAATGCGAACAAAGTGGAAAAAAGAAAATACCGTCTTGTTGTGAACTTGCTGGCATCCTGTAGTCGAGGCTAAGTTTTCGCCATGTTTGCAACTTCCCATAATGTGGATCCGTTTCTAGAATTTCCCATCTGGGGGACTTAATTGCTGAGAATTCAGATCAATAAAATCCATCAATCTGAAAGGCACCCATGTTTATCCTCTGTTGAAATGAATAGTCCAGCACCTAATAGGGATGCGTTTCATATTTATGGGCTTTGTTGCCCTGAATTATCAGCAACGGTTCTGCTGGAGGCTATTGAAATAAATGTTTCATTGGATAACGCATATTAAACAAGATACTTGTATAAACATAGTAGTGAGCTTGAACCTTGGGGGAATCTGATTTTAACCTTGCTAGATAATGTTCTCCAGATCCCACCGTTAGGGAGAGCTGTGAACTTGGTTATAGGTCATCTGTAAAAAGGAGAAACCATCAATTTCTCGGGGGGGTGAAAGGAGGAATGGGGATGGGTGGATTGTAAACAAAACTTTCAACCACTGCTATCTTCAGGGAGATGATACTGAACTATAGATGGAATAGATGAGCCAGCAGTGTGCAGCAGCTGCTAAAAAAGCCAACAGAGTTCTAGGCTGGATGAACAGAGGGATAGAATTAAGATCAAGTGAAGTGTTAATACCACTTTATAAGGCCTTGGTAGGGCCACACTTGGAATCCTGCATCCAATTTTGGTCGCCACGATGTAAAAAAGATGTGGAGACTCTAGAAGGAGTGTAGAGAAGAGCAACAAAGAGGATTAGGGGACTGGAGGCTAAAAGAACGGTTGCTGGAACTGGGTATGTCTAGTTTAATGAAAAGAAAGACTAGGGGAGACATGATAGCAGTCTTCTAATATCTCAGGGGCTGCCACAAAGAAAAGGGAATCAAGCTATTCTCCAAAGCACCTGAGGGCAGAAGAAGAAGCAATGGGTGGAAACTATAATCAAGGAGAGAAGCAACTTAGAACTAAGGAGAAATTTCCTGACAGTTAGAACAATGAATCAGTGGAACTGCTTGCCTCCAGAAATTGTGAACGCTTCAACACTGGAAGTTTTTAAGAAGAGGTTGGATAACCATTTGTCTGAAGTGGTGTAGGGTTTCCTGCCTAAGCAGGGGGTTGGACTAGAAGACCTCCAAGGTCCCTTCCAACTCTGTTATTCTATTCTATTCTATTCTATTCTATTCTATTCTATCTATTCTATCTATTCTATTCTATTCTATTCTATTCTATTCTATTCTATTCTATTCTATTCTATATGGTTGCATCTAATGTAAGGCAGCTTTCTGTATTCAAGCATGGACGTAGGATTGCAAGAACCTGACAAGGTTCTTGGTCTTCTGTATGGCATAAAAGCTTTAGAAAATGACATGATGTTAACTGTTGTTGCTATTACCGTTTGCTTGCTACCACAGGGAACTCCGGTCCTCTCCCTGCCAGAGCTGCCTAAAACGTCTCTCCAGAATGGTCTTTCTTCCTCTCCACTTCCCTCTTCTGAGACCTCCAGCACCCGTCTGTCTCCTCCCAATGTCTCTGCTCTCCTTGACATATCTCTTCCTGGGCCCCCCGAGGATGTTTTGTCTCAGGGAGAACCGGCTACTCAAATCAGTGACTCCATCATTGAAATAGCCATTAGCTCTGGCCAATATGGTAAGTGAGAAAGAGAAGAGGCATAAAAAGAAAGAGAGAGAGAAAGAGAGAGAGAGAGAGAGAAAGCGAGAGAGAAAGCAATTTGCTCTGGCCAATACAGTAAGGAAGAAAGAGAGGAGGCATAAAATCAATGAGAGAGAGGGGAGAGAGAGAGAGAGAGAGAGAGAGAGAGAGAGAGAGAGAGAGAGAGAAAGAAAGAAAGAAAGAAAGAAAGAAAGAAAGAAAGAAAGAAAGAAAGAAAGAAAGAAAACTTTGCTCTGGCCAATACAGTAAGGGAGAAAGAGAGGAGGCATAAAATGAATGAATGAATGAATGAATGAGAGAGAAAAAGAAAGAAAGAAGAAAGCAATTTGCTTCGGCCAGTACAGTAAGGGAGAAAGAAAGAAAGAGGAGGCATAAAATGAATGAATGAATGAATGAGAGAGAGTAAGCAAGAAAGAAAGCAATTTGTTCTGGCCAATACAGTAAAGGAGAAAGAGAGGAGGCATAAAATGAATGAATGAAATAGCAATTAGCTCTGGCCTATACGGTAAGAGAGAAAAAGAGGAGGCATTGAATGAATGAGTGAATGAATGAATGAATGAATAAGATGTCAGAAGTTAGCTGTTCAAAAGATTGCCATAGATATAGTTCAGCAATGCTCAAATGCACGAGTGTTCTTTGAAAGCAAGAGTGCGGAACTTGTGACTTTCCAAAAAAGAACAGTTGCATATCTTACACCCTTCAGTAAAAAAACTTTTTCCATTTACAGGTGAGAATGTTTCCCTGTCCCCAGCCAAGCTGAACGGCAGCGATAATTCCAAAAGTCTTCCGTCCCCATCCTGCAGCCCCCAGCAGAGCTGGATCGCTTCGCCCAGCCATGATCCACAGTGGTATCCAAACGACTCCACCGACTCTTCGCTCAGCAGCTTATTTTGTGAGTGCAGCCCAAAAAATCTCTGAGGGTCTGGAGTGGTTGATACGACCATCTCTTTCTTTTGCCCCTTAGCCTGTCTCTTGCCAAAACTCAGCTGAGAGATGTCCATTGGGCAACCTGAGTAAAGGTAAAGGTTCCCCTTGCACCAGTGGTGGGTTCCTCCTGGTTCGGCCCAGTTCGGCCGAGCCGGTATCGGTGACGATATGATGTCACCGAACCGGTTCTCTTTGTTCGGGACCCAGATTGTTGGGGACAATAGGCTAACTCAGTAAACCACTTAGAGGGCTGTGAAGCGGTAGATAAGTCTTAAGTGCTACTGATGATTAGCTTCGGTGGTGCAGTGGTTAGAACGCAGTATTGCAGCTAAATCTGCTGACTGCCAGCAGTTCGATCCTAACCGGCTCCAGGTTGACTCAGCCTTCCAGCCTTCTAAGATGGGTAAAATGAGAACCCAGATTGTTGGGGGCAATAGGCTGACTCTGTAAACCGCTTAGAGAAGGCTATAAAGCACTGTGAAGCGGTATATAAGTCTAAGTGCTATTGCTTTATAGCCCTCTAACCGGTTTACAGAGTCAGCATCTTGCCCCCAACAATCTGGGTCCTCATTTATTTATTTATTTTATTTATTTATAATTTAATTTATATACCGCCCTTCTCCCGAAGGACTCGGGGCGGTGTACAGCCAATTAAAAGCACAAGATACAAACAACAATTTTAAAATAGTTAAAAGTATTAAACAATTACTATTAAACAATTTCGGCCCGAATTTAAAACCCAATTATTTTACTGACCTCGGAAGATGGGAAGGCTGAGTCAACCTTGAGCCGGTCAGGATCGAACTGCCAAACTTCAGGCAGCCGGCAGTGAGCAGAAGTAGACTGCAGAACTGCACCCTAACCATTGCGCCACCACGGCTTATAACTTTTGAACAGTTGCTAATTGAATGGTTGTAAGTCGAGGACTACCTGTGGTGCTTTGATCCCAGTTGCGGGAAAACAACATGTTACAATGGGCACAAGTTGATTGCTGCCACTTGCCAAAAAAAGGGGAGCTTTTTCTGAGGACATCACTGGACTTTTCTACCTTGGATGCTGAAGACAGAGATTGCTTCCTGACATCTTCATCCCTTCTGTTTTACAGCCAGTTTTCTTTCTCCGGAGAAGGGCCGGAAAATGCTGCCCACCTCAGCAGGCAATCCAAGCAGCACCTCCTTGTTGGGACCCAGTCTGCTGGATGGGAATTCACGGGATTCTTTTGTCTCTCGGTCCATGGCTGATGTCGCTGAGGTACGACATAGCTTTTTCTGGGTGGGATGGTACGGAGCTTTTGGCTGGGGGGATGGTCAGAGAGTGAGAGAGGGAGTTTGGGATGCTGGTGAAGGTGCCTTAAGAAGGAAGGAGAACATGAGTTCCAGGTCTGGCTTTGGCAGAAAAGCTGGCTGGTTGACTTTGGGCCAGTCTCTCAGAGCCCAATCCCCTGAAGATGGTGGTTGTGGTGCAAAATAGGAGGCGGGAGTATTAGGGAGGGGAGGGGAGGGGAGGGAAGGGGAGAGGAGGAAGGGAGGAAGGAAAACAAACAAACAGGGAAGGAAGGAATCTATCAGAAGGAAGGAAGGAAGCAGGTGGAGCAAAACAAGGAAAGAAGGAATCTATCAGAAGGAAGGAAGGAAGCAGGTGGAACAAACAAGGAAGGAAGGAATCTATCAGAAGGAAGGAAGGAAGCAGGTGGAGCAAACAAGGAAGGAAGGAATCTAGCAGAAGGAAGGAAGCAAACAAGGAAGGAAGAATCTAGCAGAAGGAAGGAAGCAGGTGGAGCAAACAAGGAAGGAAGAAATCTAGCAGAAGGAAGGAATCTAGCAGAAGGAAGGAAGCAGGTGGAGCAAACAAGGAAGGAAGAAATCTAGCAGAAGGAAGGAAGCAGGTGGAGCAAACAAGGAAGGAAGGAATCTAGCAGGAAGAAAGCAAACAAGGAAGGAAGAAATCTAGCAGGAAGGAAGGAAGGAAGGAAGCAGGTGGAGCAAACAAGGAAGGAAGGAATCTAGCAGGAAGGAAGGAAGCAAACAAACAAGGAAGAAAGGAATCTAGCAAAGGAAGGAAGGAAGCAGGTGGAGCAAACAAGGAAGGAAGGAATCTAGCGGAAGGAAGGAAGGAGTTAGAGCAAACAAGGAAGGAAGGAATCTAGCAGGAAGGAAGGAAGCAAACAAGGAAGGAAGGAAGCAGGTGGAGCAAACAAGGAAGGAAGGAATTAGCAGAAGGAAGGAAGCAAACAAGGAAGGAAGGAATCTAGCAGAAGAAAGGAAGGAAGCAGGTGAAGCAAATGAAGGAAGGAATCTAGCAGGAAGGAAGGAAGCAAACAAGGGATCTAGTGGAAGGAAGGAAGGAAGGAGATAGAGCAAACAAGGAAAGAAGGAATCTAGCAGAGGGAAGGAAGGAAGGAGGTATAGCAAACAGGGAAGGAAGGAATCTGCAAGGAAGGAAGGAGACATAGACAGAGAGCCAGACAAAGCCCATACACGTGATATTTTGCATCGCTACTCCACCCCAGCAATCCTTCTGCCCGCCCGCCCGCCCCCAAACATTGGGCAGCTCTTGGCTAGCAAAGTCGCACAGTGCACATTCCTGCTAACCAGCATGCCTTCAAGGATATTCTAAACTCAGCTAAGGTCAGAAGAAAGCGGCAAGACCAAGAAAGCCAATTGCCTCTTTTCTTCCCCTTCTCTTCTCTTGGTAGGTGGTCGATTCCCAGTTGGCCTGCATGATGAATGAGAACAGCATCGACTACATATCTCGGTTCAACGACCTTGCCCAGGAGCTCTCGATCCCGGAGCCGACCCGCCGAGAGATTCTCTTTGACGGAGGGAGTGGCGGCCCCCCCATTGGCGACCTCTCTCAGTGAACGCATCCCACCAGCGGGCTGGTGGGCGCCGTTTGAATTGGCCATAATGTGGAGGAATGACGTCATAGCTATGCAGCGGATTGGGTTTTTTTATTTTTTATTTTTTATTTTTCTCGTTGTCCTGGCGGGAGCATGCCTGAGAAGAAGAGAGGAGTTTTCTCTTCGACCTTCTACGGTTCCTGGAAAGTGCAATAGGCTGGGAACAAGACCGTGTGGAGCAGTATTATAGGAAATGACGCGCGTAAGCTGGTGACTAGCAACGTTTACAAGGCAGCTCCGGGTTTTAAGGTCTGAGCAAGAAAAATCCCACAAATGACATCCTTAGATGTTGTCGTGGTATCCACAAATAAGCTGAAAGTTGGGGGGCGGTAAATAGTGGTGTGTTTTTATAAATTTTCCTTTTTAAAAAAAAAAAAAAAACTTCCTCTCCTGATCTGTCACGGCTGTCTTGTTGGCAAGTCAGTTTGAGCTGGTATTCCTGGCACTTTCTTGTCACAACAGCAGCTGAATTCCACAAGGCTTTTAACAGAATTCTTTCATCGTTTCTTTATATTCATTAACATTCCAGCAGGACACAGGGATGGGAGGAAAAAAAAAAACCCTGTTCCTGTTCCATCTTTTAAAAACTAGGATAGGGTCAGAGGAAATCTTGGAAAGGCACAGGACCTATCCTGCTTCTTTTTAACCTTCTTCCCCGTGCTTAAAAAAAAAAAAAAGACAGCTATCACCCAAGGACTTCCATTTTTCCTAGAATGCTGGCTGGGGCATTCTGGGAGTTGAAGTCCACACATCTTAAAGAGAAGACTCCTCTGACCTATTACAGATAGATTCAAAGTCAAATTCCTTTGAGATGAGCACAATCATTGGTCGATGGCCATGGAAATGTCCTTGTAGTCTCTTTGGCAACAGTACAAGTGGTTTCCCTTTTGTGGTTGTCTTTCTGTGGGGTGAGTTTCTGACTTCCCAGTCTAGTCTGCAGCTCAGAGGGTTCTTAGTAGTTATTACCCTGTTTCCCCCAAAAATAAGACCCAACGGGAAAATAAGTCCTAGCATGATTTTTCAGGATGCTTGTAATATCAGCCCTACTCCCAAAATAAGCCCCAATTAAGATTGTCAGCCAGTAGATGCATTTAGTACCGTATTTCCCCCCCCAAAATAAGACCTAACCAGAAAATAAGCCCTAATGCGTCTTTTGGAGCAAAAATTAATATAAGATCAGGTCTTATTTTCGGGGAAACGGTAGATGAAAGGCCTCTTGGCAAAATCAGGCCCATAGACTAGACCGGGATGTCAGCAACGCTCCCCAAAGAAGATCATTGAAAACGCACTTCCATTTTGTTGCCTCCCCAAAAATCATGTTTATATCTCTTTAGATATATGAGAAGTCAAGCTTGACACTTTATCTTTGCTTTTTTAAAAGCCCCCTTTGATTATTGGTTGTTACCTCATTTTGGAGAACAAAATCTCTTACACACATTTCCGGTTGAAGTTGAGGAATGTTTTGATGAAAGTCCTGCAGATGAAAGAAACGGGTAAAATTTTCTACTTCCTGTAGGTTCTTAAGGCAAATAGCGGTTTTAGACAGGGGCCTCTCTCCCATCGACGGTCCTAAAATGCCCTTCCTGAGGTCTGCAGATGTTGGCCTCTTAGCCTTCAGAGCTTGAATAGCAGACAGCTATCACTTAATTTTACTTTTGCGGCCGCCAAGAATCATCTCGTCCCTCTTCTTTACTGATTATTCCAGACAATAACAGTTCCCCCTTAGTTGTTTACCTCCCACAAGCGAGCATTTCTAAATATTTCATTATGAAACGCTATTTACCTGCAAGCAACCACTTTTTAACAAGCCTTGTCCTGTGGATGTCTCGTTTTTCTTCAGACGTTCGACCGGCAACGTGACTTTGGACCTAGTCCACAAGGTTTCGCTTGCTTTTTGCCCAAACCGATGTCAAAGGGACCAAAAATGGGTGTTGGATCAGGAGAAGGCACCCTCTGTCCCTGGGATTTATCCCTTAATCCTCTTTTAGCGTCGCTCCAAGTTTCTTCCCTTCACCTTTGCCGCAGAACTGGATGGCCTTTCCTAACTTGGGTGTATTTGCGACCGAGTCCACCTGCCCTTCATTCAATTAAGGTGCTCTCCAGATTCTGCAGAAGCTGAACAGAAAACTGCTGAGATCATGTATACCTTTAACCTAATTGTCCGATATCACAGCTCCTTCAGAAGTGGTAGCCCTTTCAAGTACTTCACTATAATTGATAGCTCAATGTACACTTTTTTTCTTTTCTTTTTTAATTTCAGGCCAAAACATCCTATGCCGTTCTGATAATCAAGGGACATCATCGCTGTCCACGGAGTTCTGGCAGTCGTAAGATCATGATATCCAGACCCCTCCAGGCAGCCTCTGTGATTTAGGAGGCGTTTTAGCAATTTAGCCTAGATCTCACACTGCCGGAATCCTCTTAATGCACCCAGGCGCGGTTTCTTGCCAGGCTCTTGTCCGATACACTCTATTTTTATCCTCCGTACCCTTCAGCTCTTCGCAGTTCTGTGTCCCATAGGAAAAAAACGTTTTATTCAGCACGTTTTGTTCAAATAGAGCAACCTAGGCTGAACCTTCCACTGATAATTATGCAGCTTGTGCTATGATTGAGAGCTTGTAATACAGATTTTTCCTTAGCAATTCTTTCCTCTTCACTATTGGGCTATTTGACATGGATATTTTAAACTCGAGCTTACGGAGCCCTTTGTTTTATGTCCGTCTGGACATAAAACAGAATAATGTCTGGATATTATTCACCTGCCTTGCAGGTATGGTGATGAGTGTCCCTTCCACCACTAGCTTTCTCCATCCATGAAAACATAGGGTGTTGTAAGAACTATTAAGGCTAGACATTGGCTCAGCAGGTTTTTAATATTGTTTTGTTGCCTGAAACAACCCGAAGTAAGCAAGCATTCACAAAAGCAGCTCCTTTCCCAATACTCGACAGTATTATAGCAGTAGCTACCTATCCGCTTTAGTTCTGTAATTCTCTGCACACAACTCCCTTGAAAAATCTTGTCTCCTTGCTTCTTTAGGGGTCCTTTAGGTTCTTTAGGCGTCCTTAGTCCTCCTGGGTCCACGCCAGGCGTTTTGTGGGAAGGGTTGCTACACGCTTGGCGTTCACCTTTGCTGCGTGGCAATGTGCTTGGTGTTTGCCGAGGCCCCGTTTGCTCTTAAATCGGGAACCACAAAAGCACGGACAGCTGGAGTTGTCCGTTCTGTCTTGGGTGCCTGTATACCGTGTTTCCCCGAAAATAAGACCCTGTCTTATATTTTTTTGAACCCTGAAATAAGCGCTTGGCCTTATTGCCATGTGCTCAAAAGCCCGATTGGGCTTATTATCGGGATGTCTCATTTTGGGGGAAACGGGGTACTATTGGCGTTCCCATCTTCGTCACTGGAGTCCGTAGTTCCAGGAGGACCAGGACTAACTACTATAGTCAGTCTAGTAATCAGTAACAAGCCCTCTACAAAGCAGTTAGACCTATAGAGGGGTGGATTGGATCTTGGCTCTGGCACTTAAAGTACCATACCCAGTGGCCACCACGCGGAGGTGTCCAAGCCTGCAACTACGACCCTGTTAAGAGAGTCATAGTCAAAAATAAAACAATCCTTTTGGGGCCTTTTATGTCTTGCATGTTAACATCTGAAGTCAAGAGCGAGGACAGCTCTGCTTTTAGGTCTAAAAATGAAAGGAAAATTCCAGTGATCTCAACTCCAGCCATTTTCCTACAGTGCTTATTTATTTATATAAGTGGTTTTTTTTAGTTCTTGGAAAGCTGCTGGCCTTATGGCTTCTGTCAAAGAGATATCCTGATTGGATAAGGGCAGGAGATAATTCTGAGCTGTTAACTCTGCCCCTTTTGGATGCAGAACAATATAAAATTCATTACGGAGAACTTCTGTGTAATTTCTAGGGAATTTGCAGGCATGGCTAGTTGTTATTGGAGTCATTGTGCCTTTATTTTTGGCTTGAGGGATTGAAAGGAAGAGAAGAGAAGAGAATAACAGCGCTTGAAGGGACCTTGGAGGTCTTCTAGTCCAACCCCCTGCTTAGGCAGGAAAAGCTCTTGTGGATGGCCTGGTTTTCATTTGTGCATTTGGTTCCCGAAAAGCTTTGGGTGTCAAATGTTCCCTTTTTTTTTGCAATCAGATGGACGAGTTGATGCGTGAATTTACAAAAGAGAATGTATGCAGTGGATATAAGCTTTTCTCATAGGCCTACCAGACAGGGCACTAGGAATCGGAAATGTTTTGCTCCTGTGTAAAGTTTTAAGAATGTGGGTTAGGCATTGTATCTGCCCATTTTTGGAGTGCCTGGATTGGACAGTAGTTGATGGTCTTGCTTGCACATTGCATTGAAATTGGCCAATCATTCAAGCGTTAACTTTATTTTGCTTTTGATCAACGGGGATCTGCAGTTCACGGGAAGTTTCCTCTACACAACGTTCGTCGGAATGAAATTCCCTATGAACCGCCTCCTAATTTTCACACTTTCCCCCCTCCCCCCTTCTTTACACAAAGGTGTTCTAGACTGGCATTATGTAACCCTCTCATTGATTGTTAACTTTATGCTTTCTTAGCCAGCTTGATTTCAATTATACTCATAAGGATGGCTTGTCTTTGACTTGACCAGTGGTGGGGGGTTTTCTTTTAGCATTGCGTTTGGGACTTGGGGTTGTTTTTAAATACACATATATAAACCCTCAGTACACGTACGCGTGTAGACTGCTGAATTTGTAAGGAAGAAACGGCACTTTTTTTGAGTTAACCCAGCCCTTTTTAAAGCTTTCCTTGTGGACCTGTAAATGCTAAATAATGAAAATATTTGCAAGCACTACAGCAATGAGTTATCACTAGTTGCCAAAATGTGACAACTGGCTTTTGAGCTTGTGCATTTGGCAGTGGACGATGTTGCTGTTTCTTTTAATAATAGTTAAGCCATATCATCTTTTAAAACAAAAAAAAAAGTTTTTTGTCTCGTTTTAAAATGTGAATTTGTTTTTTCAGATAATATGCATATATATATAACGTCTGTATAAAGCAAGAATGCCTGTCCTTAACTGATTATTTTTTTGTACCATATTGTAAATTATATTATTTATTCTTTATCGATTTTTGGAGAAAAAAAAAGGAAAAAAAGGTGTTTGGGTTATTTAATATAATATACACTTCCTCTGTTTTAAATTTCCAATTCAAGTTGTAAAGTTGTTTTTATGATTGTCCATAAACACTTACTAATCCTTGGTCTAATTTGTGTGTCTGTGATAAATATTTGATCATCATTTTTCTTCTCCCAAGTTTGCTATAGTTAGAGTTCAGAGGCATTAGAGGCTGTTGGGAATTTCTTTTGAGACTCTGAAAAATCAGTATTCCATTACATTGGGTGAAATTGAGTATAGAAATGCCCTGGAACATTTTAACATTTGAGGCATTAATATGCAGCCCTTTTATTTCTTGTTTTGATGAGTGCCTGCATTCCATGGAAATTATTTTAATGACCCCCAAAAAGTGAATTAGTTCTTCTGCTACCTACAACTAAAAATGGTCCTGAATTGCTGCCATTGACTTGAATAGAAAGCAAAACTACTCAGCTTTGAATGTTGCTGATCATCCTTCTCAAATCTGGCCTCTCAGCAGATTTGTGAACTTTAACTCCCAGAATTCCCTAGCCCAGGAAGTGGCCAACCTTGGGAATTTTAAGATGTGTGGACTTCAACTCCCAGAATTCTGGGAATTGAAGTCCACAAGTCTTTTTTTTTTAATTTTCAAAAAACCTTTATTAAAATTTAAAATATTAAAATACAAATACATCTGTAATGAAAATATGTCCATGATAGTTGTACAATTTAACGTCATTCTAACAGTACACAAATCCTAGCTCTATTCTTATATTCTCAGATATTCCTTCTTGATCAAATATATGTAAACACAATTTATGTCTTATTTTGACCTATACATTTCCTATTTTTATTTTCTATTCATTGATACCAGTTTTCCCAAGTTGAGTAACATTCTGAGCCTTGTTATTTAATTCTATAGTAAGTTTGTCCATTTCTGCATATTCAAAAATTTCCCGCATTATTACACAATCTGTTGGTGTAGTGGACATTTTCCAGGCTTGTGCAAGTACAATTCTGAAGTCCACAAGTCTTTAAAGTTGCCAAGGTTGGTTACCCCTGCCCTAGCCAATGTAGCCATTGCCGAGAATTCTAGTAGTAAATGTGTTCACACATCTAGAAATGACCAGTTTGCCAAAGGCTGGAACATAGCAGCCCTCCAGTGTCTTTCCGACAAGAACTGCACCCAGCAAGCAACATAATTTGAGTGATGCTTTAAATTGTAGATCAATGGCTCACATGCTCATCCTTGTTTGTTTTCCAGATATGAGAAGGATGCCCAAGCTAGATACAGACAAACAAAAGACAAAAACACCAACACCCTTCCACTCATCTGGCTGATAGAATGATTCTAAAATTTATTTATTATTATTTATTTATTAGTCCAATTTATATGCCGCCCTTCTCCATAGACTCAGGGCAGCTTACAATGCATTATAGCAATATCCTGCATACTTTTGTATATACCTGCTTATTAGGGCTTTCGGCCCCCCTAAGTGGCGGCGTTCTATACAAAGCTGGCTTATTGCCCCAACAATCCGGGTCCTCAATTTACCTATCAAAAGGATGGAAGGCTAAGTCAACTTTGAGCCTGGTGAGATTTGAACTCGCACTAATTGCAGGCAGCTGGCAGCTAAGTGCTAGCACTTAACAGCACTTAGTCCGCTGCTGCACCACCGAGTAGTAAAATACAGTTTACTACTCTTAATGAGTTTTATGATGAGTCGACTTGAAGCTGATATTTGGATCTGATCAACATATCGCCCTACCTAACTAAATTACAGGTAGTCCTCGATTTACGACCGCAACTGAGCCTGAAATTTAGGTCGTTAAGTGAGAAATTTGTTACATGAGTTTTGCCCCATTTTACGACTGTTCTTGCCACATTTGTTAAGTGAATCGCTGCAGCTATTTAATTAGTAGCACGATTGTTAAAAGTGAATCTGGTTTCCTCCCTGAATTTGCTTGTCAGAAGGTCACAAAAGGCAATCACATGACCACTCGCCAAGCCTCCGAATTTTGATCACATGACTGCGGGGCTGCTGCAGCGGTCGTAAGTGTGAAAAATGGTCAGAAGTCACTTTTTCAGTGATGTAACTGAACGGTCAACTAAATGAACTGTTGTAAGTCGAGGTCTACCTGCATACTTCATTGAATTATGCCAAATGTTTTGGTTAGTACCAGTAGACAACTATAAACACATTGGATGACACCAAAAAAAACCCTGCATGAACTGAGCAGGCCACGTTTAATCCGGAACAATCCAGCTGGGCACAGATCAAATAAACCTCTGGATTTGTCTGGATATCTGTAACATTACATTTACTCACATACTTATTGGCTCTACACGCATGTAAATTAGGTTTAAGATCAGGTATTTTCATAACACATTATTATTTACGGTTAATGTTAATATTATTTTTAAATTTATTGTATGTCTATTGCTGGTCGATGACCGTAATAAAATTTTATTCTTAGTCTATTCTATTCTGTCAAAAGATTAAATCAGTTAACCTCTCCCAAGGAAGATCAATCATTTCCCCAATACTAGTTTTTTTTTTATTTATTTATTTAATTTGATTTATATGCCCCCCTTCTCCGAAGACTCAGGGCGGCTTACAATGTGCTCAGCAATAGTTCAGCCAGTTGCCTATCCTTTTCCACCGCTCCTTCTCCTCCTTCCAACTGATGGCCGCGTCCACACGACCCCCTTAAAACAAGGTTAAAGACCTGATGCCTGCAATTATTATTCATATTGGACTTTGTAAAAATTATCCTCGAGGTTTTAAGTTTGGTGCAGGTTTTTTTTATTATTTTATTTAGTTTGTCAAACATGTAAAAGATAACAGATATAGGTATAAACATAAATATTATGAACATCATGAATGGGTACGAATGAATGGAGACAATAGGACGTGTTTATGCGAACTCGGACCCTGCGGGAACCAAGTTAAAAAAAAAGCGTTTAGGAAACACGTGGGGCGTCCCTTTAAATTAAAAAAAAAAGAAGAAGAAGAAGCTTCCGAGTCATTTCCTTCTTTTCTTCCCCCTCCCGTCATCCAATGAGCGCCCGATTTCCTCGGAACGGCCCCGCCCTTTTCTCCACAGCGGACGCCCCGCCCCTTTCGGCTCCCGCCACTTCAATCCCTCAAACCCGCCTCCCGCGTCTCGCGCTCCCAGGTGGGGGGGGCGGGCCTTCCCTCCGTGGTTGGCCGAGCCCGGGTGGAACGGCGCCGCCCTCGGCCAATGGGCTTCGAAGGGCGGGGCCGAGCGTCAGGCCGGGAGAGACGCGGGAGAGAGAGACTGAGGCGAGTCGCGCGGTTGGGCGGGTAACAGAGAAGCTTCAGCGGCCGTCGTTCGCTCGCTCGCTCTGCCGGCCACCATGTTCCAAGGGCCCGAGTCCGACTCGGCTAGACCCAGCTCCAGGTGAGGCGGCCGCGGTGGGTTCGTTTTTTGTTGTTTTTTACCTCAGAAACCTCCGGGCCACCCCGTTGTTGTGAGGCGGGGACTCCAAATCCCAGCATCCCCAGCCTCGAGACTACCCCCACCCCATACATACCGCCGCACCCCGACGCTTCTTGCTGGGGGCGCGTTGAGGAACATGTGGACGCCGCCTTGAAGGGATGTGAAGAGGCGGAGGTTGTTGCCCCCCCCCAACTTCCCCGCCTCAGGTCGGCTTCACACGACGCGTGAAAACCCGGGCGTGGAGGATTGGATTTCTCCCCCCCCTCCTCCTGTTTCCACGCAAGCCATCCAGCCAGGGACCAGATTCCACGGCGCGTCTCGTGGGGGGGGGGGACCTGGGTTGGGGCTGCTCTGGGGGGGGGGGGGAAACCCCGCCCGGGGGGTGCCCGGGGGGGGAACCCCCCCCCCCCCCCCGTCTCTTGATGCCGGCGACTCGGCTTGCCTGGGGGCGCCGGGTCGACCTGCCGGCTGGAGCCTCCCCTCCCCTTCAGTGGTCTTGGAGGGGATGGGAGGGGGCGTTGTCTGTCCTTTGCGGGGTCCTCGAGGGAATCGAGGCAGGGGTCGTCTCCCTCCCCCCCGCCCCCTGCAACACGAAGGGTGGGGTGGGCAGCACCTTATTGTGTCTGCTTTGCTCGGAGCAAAGTATATAATATAAAATATCTATATCTCTCTATATCTATCTCTTTATCTATTGCTGTATCTATCTATCTCTATCTTTATCTATCTCTTTATCTATCTCTCTATTGCTGTATCTATCTATCTTTATCTATCTCTTTATCTATCTCTATCCCTATCCATCCATCCATTTATCTATCTATCTATCTATCTATCTATCTATCTATCTATTCATTTATAAGGCCTTGGTAAGGCCACACTTGGAATCATTGCAGCCAGGTTGGGTCGCCACGATGTAAAAAAAAGATGTGGAGACTCCAGAAAGAGTGCAGAGAAGAGCAACAGAGATGATGAGGGGACTGGAGGCTAAAACATAGGAAGAATGGTTGTTGGAACTGGGTATGTCTAGTTTGATGAAAAGAAGGACTAGGGGGAGACATGATAGCAGTCTTTCAATATCTCGGGGGCTGCCACAAAGAAGAGGGAGTTAAGCTATTCTCCAAAGCACCTGAGGGCAGGACAAGAAGCAAATTGGAGTGTATGTGTTTTAATGTTTTAATGTCTTCTTTTAACTTTTGTATGGGATATTGTTGCATTGTTTTATTCTCTGTTGTAAGCCGCCCAGAGTCCCTTGGGAGTTGGGTGGCATAGAAATGCGACAAAATAAATATATAAAATAAATAAATAAATAATCAAGGAGAGAAGCAACTTAGAACTAAGGAGAAATTTCCTGATAGAATAATTAACCAGTGGAACAACTTGCCTCCAGAAGTTGTAAATGCTCCAACATTGGAGGTTTTTAAGAAGAGATTGCACAGCCCTTTGTTTGGAATGGTATAGGGTCCCCTGCTTGAACAAAGGGGTTGGTCTAGAAGACCTCCAAGGTCTCTTCCAATTTTGTTATTTTGTAAGGGCTGGTGAGAAACATTCTGTGAAAGATGTTCTGGCCAGAAGGCGCTCAATCCTGCTTAACTAAGTCCTGCTTATTTATGGCATCCAGCCCGGTTTGTTTATTTTCTTTGATTCCTATCTTTATTTCATTTATTAAATTTC